CTGCTTGGGACTCAGTGAGGGGCTTTGCTTCAAGCAAGCCACCACGCTGCCGCTTTGCACTTCATCATGCAGCTTCTTGAAACGCCTCAGCTCGTCCCAAGGCTATGGGATCGGCTTGCAAAAATGCATCAGCAAATTTTATTTTACTATAAGTCCAAAACAAACGAACGAATCCGGGTCTCTGAGCACTGAGGGCGAACAAAGTTTCGGGAGTTTGGGGGTAGCCAAATAAAAAGCAAAGCAACAAATTCCAAAACCCGAAACAAGGAATCCCAGGCAAAGGATCTTTACCTGGTAAGCTCGTTTTACCAACAGGAGAGCTCGCCATTAAAAAAAGGCAGATCTATATACGGTGGATGGACGAAATCCTGCACCAGTTGGGACGGACGAAGCCCAAGTCACGATGAGACGGACCCGCCAGTTGGTGCAGGATGCATTCACAGTGTTGGATGCATCCCTATGCTCAAGGCAGGAGATGAGTCCAAAGGGTCCATGTCAAGGATTGGAAGCCAACTTAGAACACTAGTTTGGGTGTCTGCGTTGTGTCCTGTTCGTTTCCCTTCAAACCAGCCCAAGAAGGAAGGGCCACCCGAGCCTTAACAAAAACAAAGACAACAACATTTGAAAAGGCCTCTTTTGAGTTGCACACTAGGCTCTGAAGGCCGACGGACGAAACGGTTCTGTGGATTCCGCCAACTTTTTGGAAGAGTGATTCTAAAGGAGGGTTCCCCTTTACAAATAAAGGGCAAGGAGGCACTCAACTGATCCCGGTCCGTTGAAAGGCTTTTTGGGTAATGGGCAAACCTTTTGAAACAAAGCAGGCAGCACCTTGGGCATTGCCAACGTTTCTCATAGGGCACTCAGTGCATTCGGCTCCATTCGCAAAATCAGTTTGGAGCAAATCGACGCAACTCTTGAGCGGACGGACTCCGCCCCCCATAAGTAACTCTTTGCTGGTAGGCAAACGAAGGAAACCAAAAGGGCGGTTCACCATCTGGCACCTGTACTAAAAAGTTGGCCACCATGGCGAAAACCAAAAGGTTCAAAGGTCGATTCGCTTTGGGCAACTGAGCCTGGCAAGTGAAAAAGCCTTCCGCTGAGTCTGGCAAGGTGGATGAACCCATTGCTGCGAGTCACTTTTCCATGACCACGAGCTTGGAACGAAGCTCCTGGGCGGGGCAGGTTATCCTGTGCTCCCGTGCCCTGAGGCTCCATTTGTTTTCTCTTTGTTCTGATTTTGAGAATTTCAGTGGTCCTTCCAAGGATTTGGGAAAGTCCCCCCAACATTCAACTACCCAGTCCGGTGCTTCCAGTCACCCCCGAGAATTGCCCCAAAGAAAAAACAAATGTCTAGGTCCTCCAGTAGTTAGAATGAAAGGTACCATTTTTGTTTTGTTCCGGTAGTCGATTTTAGTAGGGGAACACTCCCCCCAAAAAAGGGTTGAAAAGGGCACTACTGGGGGACCTAGTGATTCAACCCGCTCCCCTTGGGTCCCCTGCGCGCTCGCTGGTCTTGAGCTGTTCCGCCTGGTCCGACTTCAACTCTTGGCCATCCTGCGTCGGGAGAAGCTAGGTGCTTGGTATGAAAACCACAGGTTGAAATGGGATTTGATGTACATGGGTGTGGGTCAAAAATAGGCACCCAAGATGGAGGACTGGTAAGTGGAAACATGGACTAAAACCTGCTGGCCCCTGGTGGTTACATTTTGACCCATACCCATATTAGTATGCTTCTAAGGAGCTAAATCATTTCACCGAGGGTTCTCTTATGATCATGGATGAATTTGATCTTGAAGTACCCCACAACCCCATTCTACCTGTTTAGCCCCTAACATTGCCCGCTATATAACATCAAAGGGTTTTATACTTCAAAATGACGGACACCTGCTCGAAACTCATCCAGACCTGAGGAGAAACCAAAGGTACCCCCTGCCAAAGAAAGGTTCAAGGTCTGACTATGAGTCAAGGAACCCAACAAGAAGAAACGGTTTGGCTGTTGCCAAGTGGGTCGGCTTTGCTAAGGACCCCCAAAATTTAAAACGACAAAAAGGTGGGTTCTGTACCCTCCCAACAGGACACACCCAATGTGCAGACTTTTCGGGAAACCGTCATGACCAGTCTCAACGTTCCAAAAGCCTCCCTTCCTGAAGTTGGAGATAAGTGGGGGTCGCCAAATTCCATTGATCTAGTCTTCCCTATAAAAAGGGGAAATGGAACCACAAATGGAATTCCAGGAGTCACCCTCCCCTCCCCTTAAAGGGTGGGGTTGTTCAAAGGGGAAACCAAACACCTTTGGATGATTCGGTATGGGGAGCATTTGCTTGCTTTCATTCTCAAGGTGCGGATCTTCTAAAGTGAATCTCCTTTCCTTGGTTGACGTTGGAAGGGCAGCAAAAACAAAAGAAGGTTAGCAGTTAAGTGGTTGGAATGAAATCCAACCACTCAACCACAACAAGCAAGCAATCGTAAGAACTGTGTCCCAACCACCATGAACTCACTTGCTGAGTGGATGGCCAAAAAAACAAATTGTCCAAACTTGTTATTTACCACTAAAATGGTCCAAACCCAAAAAGTTGTTTAAACTTCATGAACTCAGGAAGTGAGTGGAAAGTTCCTTGCGTGACCTGGGAGGCCAACCCTTTTCCTTGGAAGCGGAAGGCTTTACCTTCAGCGAGAAAACCACCGGGAGTTGCCCGGCGAGGACGCCCCAGCCGAGGTGTTCTTTTTTGTTTTTTCTCGACTCACAAAGCTGAGTTGACCTCCCTTTGATGTTTTTTTTTGGGTTTTTGTGTATATATCTATATATATATATATATGTTTTTTTCGACCCACAACCTGCTCCAAGGAAAATGGCGCGAGCCACCCAAGCGCCAAGTTTGCCAAGTTAAAGGAGCGGAGCCACCCCCCAAAAAATGTGCTCCATCTCACGTTTTGCCCTAGTGCTTGAATGCCTCTTGTTTGAACAACCTGCTGTTGACATCACCTTCCAAGTCAAATTGTGCCCCTCCCCCAAACAAGCACACCTTTAAGACAACAACAAAAAAACAATGATACTGGAAGGTGGTGGCTCCACTTTTAAAGTTGTGAGGGCCTGGCTGTTTAAACCCTGGAAGCTACAAAGTACCCACCGTGTTGGTTCTGTTTGGGCAAGTTGGCAATTCTAGACTATTTAGCACCCAACCAACTTGTCCACCCTGCCAAACCTTCGGAAATCCAGCTCCCTCAGTACAGCCAAGGGGCTCGCTCGCAAAAGCTGAATTGCTCTCCTCTTTCCTAGCGGGAGATGGTCTTTTCCGAGCTTTGGCAGGCGAATCCATCCTATCTGGGTGACTTATAATGTCACCAACCTGAAATAAGGTGGTTCGGAGATATTCCCCACATAAACCACCATTTGGGGTGAATGAGGTCGTGTGAGGTCGTGAAATAATTTACCCGAATCCTATCCCGGAAATGAAGAACCGACCCCCCTGCCCTATGCATCTCCCATTCCGGGAAGCCCATGGGAATTCATGCGCGGCCCTCAACCTAGAGAACTGGGGTGTGGATGGCCCCCGGCAAGGTCGCTAGCCTGTGACAACTTCCCTCAGGCGCCGAATGTTAGTCAGGAAGCTCATTTTCTGGGGTTGCGGTGAGAGCCCTCGAGCCCTTGCCCAAAACTCGCGCGGGTTTCTGGAGGAGCCTCAATGGGTGTTTCAAACTTGGCCTCGCTTGAAATCCCTTTGTGGCCACCAGGGCATTGCATTGACTGCATTTGGTTTGGCCGCCATGCTTGATGAACAGATCCAGTTCGCACGAGATGCGATGGGAGTTTGATAGTTTCATGCATCGGTGCACGATGTTGTGCCTCGACGGCATGCTTAGAAGTGTTCTGCCTTTTGTAACCTATACATCATACTTCCATTTGCTTAAGCCCCACGGAGAAAAAAAACTAAAAAAACAAAAACGATATTTCCAGCACGCATAGACTCGCTTTAAAACAGACGGGGGAACAACTCAAGTCAGAAGTTGTTCTTTCAGCAAGTCCAAGTCGTTCTTCTTTCTGGTGCTTCATCTTTCAGCCTAACAGCCCGGATGTTTGATGGTTTTTTCCTTCGGAGACTCGCCTTTGCGGCTCGGGAAATGTCAGGTCCCGGCCCTTGCAAGATCCATCGTCAAAGTGTAAACCAGTGCTCTCAAGCCAACTTAACCCAACTTAAGCCTGCTCTTGAAGATGTGTTAGAACACCAAGTGCCGGAAAAATCACAAATTGAACCAACCTTGGGCATAATTGAGCCCTCACCACCTCTTGGGGCCACTAAAAGGGACGGAAAACCAAAAGTCGCATAGTGAGGGACGTTTTCCGTTTCCCAAAGGATGCACCCAAATAGAACAACAAGCAAACAATCAAACCAAACAAACCAATACTAACACACCAAGACATCAGCGGTGGGTGCCTCCATCATCACCTTCAGATAGCCTTTCCGGTGGATCTCTATGCTGTTGCAGAAGAACATGATTCTGAGCGACGCCGAGCCGACGACCCTCCCCCCTTCTGCTTTGGGCTTTGGGGGGGGGGGGGGGTGGGGGTGGGGGGGTTGTTCGTTTGATTCGATAGAACGGACATTGAACATGAAACAAATTCCTGCAAACGTAGAGGAAGCACAAACACACACACAGCCAAGAAACATATTAATCCTCCAGGGGCGCGGGGTGTAAGTAAGAGCAGTTACCTACCACTTTTGGAACAACCCCACTCCAAAGGACTCTCTTTTTGACTCCTCACGAGGGATTTCCACTGCCACCTCCACCATGTTGTTTCTTCTGATCACCAGTTGTAGCACTCATGGACAACATGATTTCCAACAGGTCTACGGGCTAAGGAGCTGTCAAATATATTGCCCCTCTTTGAATTTGGTGCTTTGTGCTGCCTTGTCAAGGAAACAAAACAAGAACCAAATCAAACCGAAAGTCCTTGAAGTTTGCTGTCGATCAAAGGAAATTTAGAAGGAACTTCCATGGTACGGCAAGAGATTGAAAGCTAGCTCTCTGAGATGGATGGCAATTAGAAGGAAGCGGGCAAAAATGCATTCGCTTGTGGCAGAGGAATAGAAACTTGAACCAAAGAGCAACACTCTGCGGGCTTCGGCGCTTTGAAGCGTCAATTGCAGAGTTCGGGCAGAGGCACCACATTCGCAAGGTAATGTGCAGAATGCGTAGCAAGCGCAGCACTTTCGCAAGGAGGATAGATAGAAGAATTGATAGAGAGAGAGATAGGCATGTAGATGAATAGAAAGTAGATACACAGATAGATTAGACAGACTAGATACATAGCTAGCTAGCTTGCTAGATACGTAGGTGATACATCCGTGACATAAATAGATAGAACAAATAGATGGCTAGCTAGCTAAGATAGATATAGATAGATGAGGTTGGCAAATAAGATAGATAGATGGATGGAAAGATACATAGAGTAGATAGATAGATAGATAGATAGATAGATAGATAGATAGATAGATTAGATAGATTAGATAGATAGATAGATAGATAGATAGATAGATAGATAGATAGATAGATAGATAGATAGATAGATAGATAGATAGATAGATAGATAAATAGATAGATCGATACATAGATAGATATATAAATAGATAGATAGATACATAGATAGATAGACAGACAGACAGACAGATAGATAGATAGATAGATAGATAGATAGATAGATAGATATATTAAATAGATAGATAGATAGATAGATAGATAGAAATAGACATAGATTAGATAGATAGATAGATAGATAGATAGATAGATAGATAGATAGCTAGATAGATAGATAGATTGACGGAAAGGGAAATGTATAGATAGACATATATATATATGGATAGATAGATGGATAGATAGACAGATAGATAAATAGACATATTGATAGATATATATATATATATAGATAGATCGCTTCGAAAAGATAGATAGCTTCGATTAGATAGATAGAACGATATAAAGATAGACAGATACATGGATAGATAGATTAGATAGACAGAAGTCTGGAAAGTGGATAGATGAGGAGACGGATGCATAGATACTTTGATAGATAGACAGATACGTAACGCGAGACAAATAGGTAGGGAGGTAAATAGATATATACATATATGTTTATATATTCGCTTGATAGATACATGGATAGACAGACAAACAGAGAGAGAGAGAGAGATAAAGAGAAACAAACAAGTGGATAAATAACTAAATAGACAGACAGATAGATACATAGATAGAAAGAGAGATTGATACTTAGGTAGACAGATATATAGGTCGATTGATTGGTAGATATATAGATAGACAAATAAATATATTGGATAGATAAATGAATAGACAAATATCTAGATAAAGAGAAAATAAAAAGACAGACAGATAGATAGACACAGACGAACAAACATATAGGTAGAGAGGTAGCTACTCAAAGAGAATGTAGGTAGTTAGGGTGGTAGAATAGTCGATAAACAGATTAGATAGATAGCTAGACAGATAGATACAAAGATGAAATATAGATAGATTAGATAGATAGGATATCGAGAAACGCTAAATGGATAGGTAGACAGATAGAGTGCATAAACAAATATATGCATGGATATAGAGATAGATTTATAGATAGATACATAGATAGATCGATCGATAGACAGACAGAAAGAGAGAGAGAGAGAGAGAGAAGATAGACAAATAGAAAGGAAATATGGATAGATAGATCGATCGATAGGTAGATAGACAGAGATAGTACTTAGGTAGGCAGGTAGGTAGATAGATAGACATATAGATTGATTGATTGATTGACGAAGAGGGATACATATATATATATATATATACACATACAAAGACAGAAAGATATATAGGTGGATAGACAGACAGACAGACAGACAGACAGACAGACAGACAGACAGACGGACAGACAGACAGACAGACAGACAGACAGACAGACGGACAGACAGACAGACAGACAGACAGACAGACAGACAGACAGACAGACAGACAGACAGACAGACGGACATATAGATAGATAGATAGATAGATAGATAGATAGATAGATAGATAGATAGATAGATAGATAGATAGATAGATAGATAGATAGATAGATGAGATAGATAGATAGGTTAGATAGATAGATAGATGGATGGATAGATAGATAGATAGATAGATAGATAGATAGATAGATATATAGACAAATAGATAGAACTTGATTGATTGATTGATTGGTTGGTTGATTGATTGGGTTCGGTTGGGTTGGGTTCGGTTGGGTTGGGTTGGGTTGGGTTGGATTGACAGACAGACAGACAGACAGACAGACAGACAGACAGACAGACAGACAGACAGATAGATAAAAATATAGATAGAGATAAATAGATGGCTAGATACATAGATAGATAGATGGATGGATAAATAGATAGAGAGGCAGCTGCTTGGATGTAGTGTAGACAAACATATTGATAGATTGATTGATAGATTGGTAGTAGATTGTAGTAGATGTACAGATACCCACAGCAATTAACATGGAACCTGACAGCGGGGTCCTGGAAGACCATTGGGAGGGTAGGTAGGTTGAAAGACATATCTCAAAGTAGATTGTCAGGTAGATAGATGGATAGACAGACAGACAGATAGACAGACAGCTAGATAGATAGACAGATTGTAGATAGGTTGATGCGGGGGAGATACAGAACAAAAGGTTCAGCGGGTAGGAAGGAAAAAACATGAAGGAGTGAAATAATGAAAGCAAGCACGCAGAAAGAAAGAATTAAACAAAGAAAGAAATAACAAACGAAATAAAGACAAAACAAAAAGAGAGAAAGAGAGAACGATAGAAATACACAACTAAATGAAGAAATAACAAAAAACGTAATGAATGAAACAACACAAGGAAGTAAATAAACAAAACACAAAAACACAATCAAACAAATAAATAGAGGCATACAGAAATAAAGAAAACAACTAAGAGAAGCGACAGACAAGAAAACAACAATTAGAACCAATAAAGAGGAGGACGAAAGGAAAGGAGGACACACTAACAAATATGAACATAAATAAAGACAGGGACAATGAACGATGCGAAGAAGAAAAAACAAAGTGAGATAAAATATAGAAGACAAGAACAAACAAAACACAAAAACTATAGTTCTTATATCTTAAAACTTCGCTTGGCCGGCTCTACTGGTAAACCAATCTATCGTGCCCCCCTCCCTCTTCTTCCGGAAGGCCGTTTGTACTTTCGGGAGCGGATTTGTTGCGCCAAGAGATGGGGGTCCTGACAGAGGATCCTTCTGAATTTTTGAGATGAAGATGGCACATCCTTCTAGGGTTTGATTCCAATTCCATTCTTTTCAACCATCGTTCTTGAAAAAGAACCGGATCCATTTTCCCTGGTCCGGAGGTTCTCTAGAAATGGAAAAGAATGGGGAAGGTAGGGATTTGCTCCTGGGCGATGGTTGGGATTTGCTCCTTCCAGTAAGCCAAACACCGTCTCCAACTTGGTGCGCGCGCCTTTTGGAGATCCTTCATTCAGGAACCCGCTTTTGGGATGGCGCGTTTTCGTTCGCAGCCAAGAGGCAAACTGCAAAGATTTGCTTAAGCCCCCTAGTAGAAGAAAACAAATCCAGTAGTCATAGATTCCCTTTAAAACCAGCAGGGGAAAAACCGAATATGCTTCAGCAAATGGAAGCCAGCCACCGCGTAAACTCCTGACATCGCGAGAGCTGGAGAATAGCAAGAGGCAAAACGCGTTGGCCCAGTGCCATGAATTCGGTTCTGCCACGCTTGACGGAGCGGTTTGGAGCGAACCTCGAAATTTTCGGGGCCGACCCTCAAAAGGCCGGGGTTGAACGATTTTCACTTCGCTCCTGCAAACTGGGGAGGGGAGGTCGACCTGAAATAACATATTATCATATTTATGTGTGTTTTTCGCGTTCTTGCACTTCGCTCGCGGGACCTTCTGCGAACTTTCGCGAAGTCAGATTTGAAAACTCGGTGCTTTTGCATTTGTCCGCTTTCGCGGGCTGGACAAATAGAGAAAAAACGGAGAAGATAATTCCAAAGAACTGAGAGAGAGAGAGAAGAAAAACAAAAAAGAAGGAGAGAGAGAAGGAGAGAGGGAGAAAAAGAGAGAGAGAGAGAGAGTGAGAGAGAGAGAGAAAAAACAAAAGAGCAAGCGCCAAGCACGTCTGTCCTACAAGACTGCCCATCGACTTTTTGGTTTGGGGTTCCCCTTTCCTTAGGCCTTCCGCAAAAAAGCAAAAACGAGTCGTCCCAGGTCACGGCTCTTCCGGCTGCACCGAGTCGAGTGGCTTAGGCAGGGAGATGGCCAACAGGAGGGAGGTGCCCACGCTGACCAGCGCCGTCGCCACGTGCACCGGCACCTCTTTTTGTTGGCCCCAGTCAGTCAGTCAGTAGTCAGTCAGTGAGTTGGGGCGCTTCGGACAGAAAAAACGGAGCTCCAAGACGGGTTCAGAAAAAAAACAAAATCACAAAAGAAGAGAGCGACCGGGCAGTTCCGGGTGTCCGGGCCCAGTCAGTCAGTCAGAAGCGGGCGCTCCCCGAAAAAGAGCAATCGGAGGGCCCCAGTGACTTGGGGCGCTCGAACGAGAAAAAACCTCGGAGGTCCAAGGTAACACCCAAGGGCGCTCTCCAAGAGGGGTTCTCTTTCTCTCTTTCTCAGAGGCCCAGTGAATTTCCATGGGGAACAAAAGTCGGCCTCTTTTCTTGTTTTTGGTTTGGTTGAGTTTAAAGGGGAATCCTTCCCAAAAAGGAAAACAGGGCGCCACTGGGATATTACCCCCTTTCGGGCCAATTTAAAAGGATCTTCCTTTTGGTGAGGCTTACCCTGATTAAAAGCACCAGCCATGACTGGCGCCCTTTGAAAGGACCCCTGCAAGGTCCTTTGGCTTCCCTCGATCCCAAAATGGTCCGAGCAAAGAATACCAAGCACCCGGGCCGCCAATTTACGCCTTCTCGTTCAATGTCCAAAAGGCAGCGGTTGGGGCTGGAACCTAACGTGCTTGGTGCTTTGTTGCTCTACTCAAACCTCAATTTCAACTTTTGGCATCCACTTCTTTCTAACAAGGGCACCCAATCCCGGGATCAAAGGCTTAAGTAGTTCGGTAGAGCTCCCCCGAAAGCAACCCTCTTGCATTTTGCCCGGGCGTTTTTGCCGGGCTCGCCCCAGCTGTTTAACTAGGTCCTCCAGTAGAGAGGAGAATAAGGGTACCAACTTTTTTCTGCAGTCTATTTTAGTAGACGAAAACCCTCCCACCAAAAAAGGAATGGTGAGAAAGGGCACCTAGCTGGGGGCCTGGACGCTTGCATGGGCGTGAACCCCCGACCGCCTCCAGCGCTTCAATCGCCTCGCTGGTGTTGGTCAAGGCCTGCGAAATCCGAGATCCGTTCAGGCGAGGCGTTTGCTTCGCAGGCGGGGCCAAACGAATATCACGTGAGCCAGAGTCGAAACCCGGATTTGCCCCTTGGACCCCAGAAATTCGAGGCGATCACTTCTTGGAACCAAAAACAGTTAAAAGATGGAACAACAAATGGAATTCCGAAAGTCACCCCCCCGCCAGTTAAAGGGTGGGGTTGTTCAAAGGGCAAACCAAACACATCTTTTGGGCAGCATTTGGTTGCTTTCGGGTTGGACCCATCATCTTCGGCTTGCCGATCCCCAAACCAACGGCTTTCTCGCCAGGAAATCTCATGTAACCTGTTTTCAGGTCAGGAGATTCCGTGTCCAAACTCCCACATACTATCCAAAAAAGCGGTTGAAGGGGGCATGCTTGAGTAACCGTGCAAGGGCCAAACTCATTACACGCATTACTCTCGTAACATGACCTCATTCGGCTTTTACGTACCCCACCGCGTTCTACTGGCTCAGGTCCGTATTATTGCGCCGCCTGTAAATATCAGTCGTTGACTTGCATGGCCCCGAAAATTGTTTCAACAAAATATGTGTCCCTCAAAATTGGTAGCTTGGATTGGTGGCTTGGTGGTTGCCCATTTACCTTCTAAAAAAGACCGAGGGTTCAACTTCCCAAGCCGTCAATCCACACCGCCAACTTCGGGTTGCCTGGAAAAAAGGAAATCTTAGGAGTCCCGAAGTTCCCTCGGTCAACAACTGCAAACGGATGTTGGGAACCCTACAAGCTCACGACTTAAGTGGTGTCTTTGTTCACTTGTGCCTTGACCAAAAAAAAAGTCAAACATGTGGTCTGGGACCCTGGCGCCGAAGAAGGCCTTTGAAAGGCTTAGCTTTGACAATCCAATTGAAGAGCTTTAAGGCCACCAAAAACCCTCATCCTGAGAGCTTGCTGGTTTGACCCCCGCCAGATTATCTGGTAAACTCACCCATGCGGCCTATTCAGCACCCAGTGTAGGCCGCAAGGACGGAAGGGCAGGCTTGGGGAACTCCAATCACTTCCCAGCCACGCGCTCGTGCGTGACCTTGCCTTCGCCTACCTTCGCCTGTTCACCCAGCCCCACCTTGCGGCGGCCTACGCTCGGGCCCAGCCCCTTACCCGCCAAGCTCGAGCTGCAGCCCTGCGGAACCTCTGGTTCACACATTGCCACACACGGCCCAGTTTGAGCCCGCTCCTCACAGAATGCGGCCGCCTTGCCCTTGGACTACTGTGACTGACCTGCAATGCCAAGTGGAAGCTGAAGATGTCATCGCTTCTGGCCAGCTGCCCAGCGTCCCCACGCCTGGCCCTGGAGTAAGAACAGAGATCAACGGAAGGTCAAATAGCCCTTGGCCCTTCGGCCCGCAGCGCGCGCTGAACATCTCCCGTTTAGCCCCCAAAAACACCCTGTCGCTGTTAGCCCCATTTTCCCCGTTTTTCCCCTTTGCCGTGTTTTTGTTTGGGGGGGAGGGCATGAAGATTGGGCCCGCCGGAGGCACCCAGGAACCGAGGAACGGGCGGAACCGAAGCGAGGGGAACGGCCCGCCTTGTAGGCCTTAATGCCATGGCCGAAGCCGCAGAAGAGGATGAACAGGGCGAAGGCCAGAATTAGGGTGCGGCTCACCGCCAGCTCGTCCGTGGTCATGTTCCCTGTGATCTTCCTCACGTCTTCGAAACGGGGCAAAACTCAACCAGCATATGGACCGCAGGTTTTAATCCATGTTTCCATTTACCAGGGTTCCATGCTGGATACCTATCTTTGATCCACAGCCAAATATGGCACCCTCCCGCCAGAGTTAACAGCCGGAATTCTCCCTGACAAGGGCCAACCTTGAAAAACAAACAAATGGCTGGTTACCTACTAGCTTGCCTGGGATCCACTGGAAATAGTGATCATGGGAATGATAATACCACCCTCACGCCAATGAACAGCCGGAACCTGACGTTCGGGACCCAGCCGGGGATGAATGACACTGCCAATTGACTTTTCTAACAATCCCCGTGGCTTTGCTGGTGTGTTCACTGTGTTGACTGGGTCCTCCAGTAGAGAGGTTAGAATAAGGGTACCCTTTTTTATGTAGTCTATTTTAGTAGGGGAACCCTCCCCCAAAAACGGGTGAAAGGGCACTGCTGGGGGACCTAGTTGAATTAAGCATGACAGGATGCCAGCAACACTTAGAGGCTCTTGTGTAGCACACCCTAAGGGTGTGATACAAACAGCATCACCACACTCATGTGCACAGGAGCAGCACCCAACACCCGAGCTGACCTTTGATTCTACCACGATGAGTATGAGGAGTGTGTAATCCTTAGTATACGACAGATCCTGGAACCGAATCGTGCCCAAGTGGATCGAGTTTGGGACTCTCATATGTGTTCACCATACCCGAGGGGGGGGCAAAGATGTGACAACGCTTTGTACAAACTGAAACCATTAGAATCCCTGCGGATCTGTCTTAAAATGGGGGCCCCAAGCAAATGGACAGTCCTTTTGGCTTTCGGGATAAAGGAGTTGTCTCGCTACCAATTCAATATGTTTCTCAGAAACTCACATTTGTCCACCATACCCTGGTTAAAGTCCCATGCGCCCTGACCTGTTCCCCATAAAATTGAAACTAACTTCAAAAGGGTGTCCTCCAAAACACCAACTATATGCGTCCACATTTTAGCCGGGTGTATCCCCACATCACCTGCCCTTGGAGATACGAGTTTGTCTCAGATAGCAGACCCCGCCCACCCCCCCCTCCCCGCCAAGAAAAAACAAAACAAAAACAAACCAAGCAACAATAAAAATGCGTGGGTTTTGTCCTTTGCGCTTCCCCTTAAACTAATCCCAAGGAGGATGAGATCAAAGAAAGACACAACCTTCGCCTTGAGGCTTCTAGATACCATCCAGGTGTCTGGGCATTCCTTCTTGCAAATGCCGGTAGAATTACCTTGGTTGCCTACTATAGTGAAGAGCTAAGCAGCATTGGGTAGGGCAGGGCACGTCAGTGCTTAGTTAGGCTGTGCTGTAGCCATGGTTGCCAACCGCTACCCTTGCCCCAATTCAGGACTGACTTCCTGAGATGGGCCAAAAACACCAGTCCAGCTGTTCGTTTGCCACTCACACATCTGCTCTTCCCCAAAACAACTAGTCCTCACTTGCCGAAAGGCCCTAGACAATACAAGTTTCAGCTTTTGGAATCTTCGCGAAATATGGAAATACTCCGAAATACAAGATTCAGCTTCTGTAACCTTCACTGAAAATATGGAAACCCATTCATGGCCAAACCAATTCAGATCCCGTGGATTCCCTTTGCCCCCGGTTGCCAGCTCTCCGCATCCAGCGACCCCCCGCGGCCCGCCGCATCTGCTGTCCTGAAGTCGATGGCGGTGACTTTGCGCGTGGCCACGAAGATCAGCTGCAGCGGGATGGAGATGTACGCGGCGAAGATGGCGAGGTCAAACCTCGGATCGCCCCAAACGACACGCCGCCAAAGCCGCCAAAACCCGAACAACGCGTTTTTGGAACGCGAGGCGTGGTAGGCTTGGTGTCCGAGTTTGGTTAAGACCCCTGGAAGATATGTAAAAATAAAAATAAAAGTATAGTAGTAATAAACTCCTTTTACAACCAACAAGGGAGTTTTATTTTTTATTTTTTAAAAATATTATTCACCAAATGGAAGGGAAAGGACACCCCAAGCCGCCCATGTTTGAGGCCTAAGTGGGAAAAACATATTTCAGCAACTGGAAGCTTGGTAGCTTGGACCCCCATAGGCTCCTGGCTTCGGCTTTGGAAGACCTTTTGAATAGACACCCCGCTGGTGCTTTTTTTGGGGTCTCAAAAACCCTGCGTGTTTTTTTGGAATTGGTCTCAACAACCTTGCGGTTTTTGTTTGGGCCCATTGATGGAATTGGAGCGTCTGGGCCCAGACAAATTCAAAGGTGAACCGTTGGACGCCATGAACCGAAAGCCAAAGGGGAAGCCAACAAAACTGGGCTGCCCGTTTTCAGAGCCCCTAAAAGTTGAACTTTTAGTGGGTGAAATTCGGAAACTACCACTAAACCCTAAAAGCCAAAAAAGCTAAGGGGACAGCTGGGGGCCACCAAGAAAAGGGAAGCCAAAAAGGGAAACCACAGATGAAGCCACAAATATCTTGGGGCGTCCACAAAACACAAACCCTAAATAAGCTGAGATGGTTTCCACAGTTGAATTCAGCTGTGGCAAATATGGATTCCGGTATTGTGGTTCCGAATCTCACTAAATGAAACACAACAATCCCAGGGGGGATGAGCAGGGACCCAAGTGCGAGTTCTAACCTGGTTGTAAAGCCTTTGTGAAGCCAGGCCTTAGAACCACCACACAAGTTGTGGGCACTGACAAAGAAAAGACGGTGACCCTTGGAAATGGATCGATTCCTCTTGGCGTCGTTTTGAAACCATCCAAGGCGTACGCCATTTTGAGAACCCGCCCGATGCCGCCAGATGCCGCAAGAGACGAGCGCGACGAGAAGAACTGAGGTGCCATGTTGGGCGGCGGGCGGCCCGTTTTTCCCGCGCGGCGAAACATGGAATTCGAGACCTCGACTTGTTGCTGGGATTCCGGGAATGAGAGACCCCCTAACTCGTGAGAGTGAGTCACGGACCCTTGAGAGGGGGCGGGGTGGGGGCGTCCGTCGATGAATTTGAGGGCTCCGGGCCATGAGGAGCTCATCGAAACTTGCACCGCGTTTTGGAGAAGGCTCCGGGCAGAATCAAACCATGAGATTAAAGCAAGGCTCCCTGAGTCGTTTTGCAGGGCGCCCCAAAAACTTCCCCTATCATCAACCCACCAGAAAGGAAGGTCCTTGTAAGTTGGCCCAAAAGGCGATGTCTAAACACCAAAAGGGGAAATATAGGGAGCCCTGTTTTGGGGGTGCTCAAAAGGGCTGTGCAAGCGGGGAGCCAAAAGAATGAGACAAACCCACTGATTCACAGCCATAGAGAGGGTAGTTATTGCAGCCTGATAGGGATTATTCGTGACCAGCGATTATTAGAGGCTAAGGACCATTTTTGCGGGCCGGCGCATGGCTTTTTTTCGCTGTGAATCATTGCACTGTATTGCCCCAAGGGAAACTTACCTGAAGTGGGCCAAGGTGATGTGGAGAAAACACAAAAAAACACATGTGGGGAATCCGTTGCAAATTTGTCCCAAAGCGTAAAGGAAATGAAGGGCCGGACATGTCTGGTGACTATCCTCGGGGCCGACAGAGAATATAAAGGTCTTCCTGTAATATGGAGGTTTGCCTAAGAGGAAGAGGGACCACCAAATTTCCTGGTTTGCTTTTGGTTCACCATTTCACCATTTGTGGACAATATGTTGGCTTTCAAATCACGCTGGTCAATAGGACATCCATGGGGGTTCGGGCAGGTGCAGGCAAGCCACCGTCCAACTGTGAATTGCTTACCCTAGCCACGGGAAACCTGCGTGTCAAAACAACCCCAGTACACTCCAAAAAGGGAAAACAAAAGGTTGCGCCGATTGCACCTACGAAGCTCATCACAGCCCAAGGAAAATCCGAGGCACCGTATTTCTATACATATATATATATGCCTATAACCGGGCCACTGCAAACAGTTCTGTTCTGTTCCTGGTGAAATGAAGAAAGATTCAAAAGGCACAATGTTCGAAAGGTAAGGTAAGTCTGTCAAGAAGGGCGTAACAAATTCTAGGTCCTCCAGTAGAGAGGCTAGAATCAGGGTACCCTTTTTCTGTAGTCTATTTTAGTAGACGAAAACCCTCGTCCAAAAAATGGGTGAGAAAGGGCACTGGGGGACCTAGCTGGGTGTCCCCTTCCAAAGTCGCAAAACGTGGCGGCTTCCAGGGAAAGGATCGCCACTGTTGCAGGGAAGTTGAAAGACTGTGAATAGGACACAAGGATCTTCCGGGATTACACTGTGGGATTACACCCTAGGGAGCTGACCCCAAATCGCCCCAAATATCCCATAAAACAACCAGGCTTTATCTGGAAATAAGCTCAAATAGGGTGATTCCCCAGAGGGCACAATCCCAGGGTGTCTTAGGAAATTCCTTGGAAATGAACACTTATGATGGTCTCAATTCCGAGGTTGACTACGTGTCCCTAAGCCCCACGAACCGAACATTTTTGAAGGTACATGTGATGCTCAAAGCCTGGCATCAAATCGGCCCCAAAAACATGTAAGGCAAAAAGAGGGCGGATTGAATGTTGACCCGGATTCAGAAACCGGATTTATTACCGGGGGGTGTTCCCCTCCAAAAGTGGTCTGATTTTTTTAGTCAAAATCAACCAAGGGTTCGGCCTCATCCGGGGCAAAATGATGGCCATGGAAAAATTATAAAACAGCCAGGTCAACCAGCATTCGCCATCTATCTTTACTAAAACCAACAACAACCCCTACTGTGGGCGACACCCATTTCGCACCACCCAAGAAACCCTATGAGGCCCCTCCCCTGTTATTGCCAACAACCATGGTTTCCGCCTTTTTATTCCCACGAAATCCGTGCACCACCTAAGAAACCCTACCAGCAAACCCTCGTTGCCCATGCTTTCATTTCGCGATGCGTCCGATGTCGCGCACATCACTCCGCATGCTTCAATCCCAAATTTGAGTCCAAGGCACAGGCCCGAAGTCGTGCTAATCATGATGCTCTGTTCGGTTTCGATCCCGACACCGAAAAGATTTCTAATCCTTGAGCCGAAAACCAAGCGCAAGCCTGGCAAGTCTAAGGTGAGTCCAGAACCCTTTCAATATCCCCATGTTTTTTTCACCGGATTTCCAACCCTTGCTGACAAAGGGGATGTACCCTGTTTTGCCCTTAGAATTCTAGTTGAACTCAGTTAGGAAGATGTTGGTGCCGTCTGTGTGGGTGTGTGTGTGTGGGTGTGTGTGTGTGTGTGCGTGTTAACTTTAGGTTCTGCAAAGCCAGCTGCCAACAGGTTTGACATCCCTGGCTCCCGTCTCCCAAGAATGGCGAATTGTACCCGTGTGGGTAAAATGGATGTAGTAAACTGGCCATGGAAACGATCGCCACCAATTTCCGCCACCTTTTCTTGCGGGGACCTTTGGTGTTCTCCTTGTGCAAAACAGAAACAGGTCTGGGTCCTCCAGTAGAGAGGTTAGAACAAGGGTATCCTTTTTGCCCCAACAGCTGAAAGCTTTGGGGTCTCAGCCCAGATAGGCTCCGGGGTGGTTCGGGGCGGCCCTGAGGTAAGGTTCCACGAGGGTTCCACGAGGGTTCCACGAGGGTTCCACCATGGTTCACGAGGTTCTGCGAGGGCTGCAGGGTGGTGCGAGCACTAAAAAGAGCACGGCATGCTGTTGGGGATATCACCTGAGCTTATTCTTTAGTCTGCTTTAGTAGGGGAACCCTCCCAACCAAAGAAGGGGTGAGAAAGGGGCACCTAGCTGGGAGACCTAGAAATGGTGGACCTTTGAGTTTGGGTATTTACGGGAGGAAATCGTCAACCCTCCCCCCCAACCAAAACAGAAACGGTAAAGGGCAGCGCCAAAGGACCTAGACAACCGTAAAAGAAGCAGGTCTGGGTCCAACGGGCAATTGAGTGCCCAAAACCCGGCTCGCTCAACTGTCGGCAGCCTTTCATGAAACAGGTAGCAACCTTCACCACGGATCCGGATGCATTATACACCTGAACATTGCAACTTGTAAATGCTGGTTTCCCTTTATTTTGGTGTTAAAAAAACAATGTTTCAAATGGTTGCAAAATGCATCTTTTAAGGAGCCCTGTTCACCTATGGCCAATCAGTGCAAATCTAGGTTCTGGGAAGAACAACAAGCTGAAACCTGCGGACTCTCTACCATTTCCTTCTAGAACTCCAGGTAGCTCCCAAAGGCTCCCTTCTGAGCCTTTGGATACCCCTGCTCCGCAACGGCTCGCTTACCGGCTAGCCCTGTCTACTTACCCCTTAAAACTCCAAGCCCTGGGGAAGTTCATCTTTTACAGACATATAGCCCATGTTACCCAAAAAGTTGAGAAAAGTTGTGTTTTTAAGGGGTAAGTCTATGTTCAAACAAAACAGGCCACGGCTCCCTTACCCTCAGCTCCGCGCCTATCCGCAACTCACCTCCAGCCGCTTGGCACATCAAGCGGCAAAAACCAAAACGAAGGCGGAGAGGCGCTGCCTTGAGCCAGGCACCGGCAGACACATGTCAATGAACAAACAACACGAAGGAATAAATGAAAGGGAAGCCTCCATTTGCCTCCATTTGCTGAAGTCCCCTGGAAAAACATATATTATATATATATATATATATTTCCATTAGTCAGAAACAAAAGGTACCTGGAGTCTCCTTCTGATACTTAAAAAATGGGGTCAATGACCCCAAAATAATGGGGGTCATTGACGATTTTTAAAGGGTGATGGCGACTCCAGGTACCCAAAATGGAACCTTGGTATATGGAACCAGGGCCTAAAACCTGCGGTCCATATCCTGGTGGTTTGATTTTGACCCACAGCCACATGCACATCAACAAAGACACGAAGGAATGAATGAAAGGGATCCATTTGGGTTTGGCCCCAGGAACAAACAAATCCAGAGATCGATTCCGTTTAAAACCAAAAGGAGAAAATAAACAATGAACCATATTCCTGAGCAAATGCAAGGAAGGGAAGGGAATCATCTACCTCCATTTTTTTTCGCCCCCCGTGGAAACATAGAAAATCTATGAAAATATGTCAAGTAGCGATGGGTGTCCTTGCAAGCCAAGAGGCTTGACTCTTCTGAAGCAATTTGACATTTACCTTTATGTTCAGCCGGGAATCCCCGGTTGCAAAAAGATGCGGTTTCCAGAGGAACCTGAGACATTGGGCCCAGGTTTGTGCCAAATTTGCTGGGACATGTCCTCCCCCTCCATGTCTCCTTTCAACTAGCAAACCATATGTTTTTTGCAGGGGGTCTAAGTCTGGTAAGGTGTGCGACAAACGGCTTCCTTTTGGCTTCCCTCAAAACATCGTCCAAACAAAAGGCTGCTTAGGCGCTTTAGTAACACTCCATATCACGAAGAACAAAAAACTAAATCGCCATCTTGTGGTTCCCCTCGCCGCACCGGTCCAAACACTTGACAGGAACGCCCAGACCGTTGAGGAGCTCCTGGCACGCAGCAAACTTGTCAGCAACTGGGTACATGGCCCCAAGGGGCCCAAATATACCCCTTACCTCACCAGTAGAGCCGGTTGGCAGAAGCTTCAAATATGTGAGTGCTATAATAATTATAGCTTGAAGCACGCTTCTCCCAGCTCTCTTTCTCTCTTTCCTTCTCTCCGCATGTCAGCCTGTCACGAAATCTTCCCTGTTCCCTTTCGAGCTACGCAAACTGCACCTGGAGACCTGCGACAGCGCCGCGCCAATGAAATCTGTACCGCCGTTGTCAATGCGCCTGGATCCGAGGCTCCGCTCCCGTGCTGCCGTTACGCCCATGCCGCCGTTACGCGCCCGTCGTTGGCGTCGCGACCCGGGTAGCTTTCAGCCAGCCAAAACCAACACCCCGCGGAGAGTTAGTCTTTGCGATGTGTATTCCCATTTGGGCCGCTTGGGTGACTGGTTCCCGGAAATTAAGCCATAATCAGTGATTTACGAACCATGAAACTAGTCGTTCACACCAGGGGTTTGTATGGGTACGTGTGCAATCTTGGGGCATGCTTCTCCCTATCAGGAAAACCACCATGGAAGGTTCCTCTTGTGACGCATACCCATAATTCCTATAATGTGGGTTCGTCCTTCAGCCTTTGACTTTTGCTTGCTTCAGTCTAAGGGTGGAAGTATCATCCTTGCTCATACCCCTTGGCTTTCCTGATCATCGTTGAAAGGCCAAACAAGTATTGGCCACATTGAATCAACCAGGGCCGCTTGTGGGACACATCCACCTGAGCCTTGCCTTTCCTTTCCCAAACACCGACTTTTCTTACGGGAGCATATTGCACCCAGACTAACACAAAAGGCATGTACCACGGAAAACCAATGTGCTTTCAACCTAGTTACCCTTAAACTGACATGGGTCTACCCGGCCTCGTCGCTCACTTCAAGGATGCACAAGTTGGAAAGAACCTCCGCCGGCGGTGAGTCTGTCTTTGTTTCGGTGTTTTCGGTGTTATTTTTCTGTTTGGGGGGGGGGGGGGGCGGGGGAGGACACCTTCCACTCTGCTATGGTTCAAAGCTCAACAATTTACTTTGGTTTTGAGAGGTTGTGCAACGTGATTGACTGTCAGTTCGGGCCTGCCTCCACCAACAAATTGCATGCCTTCTATACGAGGGTGACGGGGCCATACAGGCTTACCGACTCGCATCAAACTTGGCAACATTTACCGGAACATTCACCCCCAAGTTGGTGGTAAAATTGGTGGTGAATGGTGAGTAAATTGGGGATACATTGGCGGGGTAAATTTGGTGGCAAATTGGTGGTAAATTGGGGGGGGGGGGGACTTTGGAATTGGGGGTAAATTATTAAATGTGGGGGTAAACTGGGAGTAAACTTGGTGGTAAAAATGGGGGTAAATTTGGGGGGGGGGTAAATGTGTGGTAGTTTGGGGGGGGTTTGGGTGTAAATGTGGGGGGTAAACTAGGGGTAAATTCGGGGCAAATTGATGCAACCAGTTACTGCTACAGGCAAGGCTTAAAGTGTCAGTCAATATGATTAGTATGTGTATGTCTCAAAGAAAGGAACCACCGAACAAAAAACACCATTGGTTTCGCTTTGCAGCCACCCCGTACAAGCTACCCACGCTCGCAAACAAACAAGCACACAAACACACCAAAAATAAAGAACGGAAAGAAGGAACAAACAAACAGACAAGCAAACAAAAAACAGACAGACACAAACACAAACACGCGCACAACACACCCAACACACACGCACACGCACGCCAAGCATGCGTTGGCCATGCCTTGTGCCCAATGGCCTTATTTTTTTGGCTGCCCGTTTTGTGTCTCAAGTTCCATGAGCACCACGTGCCACAAAACAACTGGGTCTTTTACAGGGCACCACGAATCAGAGGGTGTTTTCCTGTTTAAATGATCCATTTGCGGGGGCTCCTTTGAATGGTAGGGTGCTCCGGAGAAATTCAAAATTGGCAGTACACTCAGTTGAGTCAATCCCCGTCCAGGAAATTGATTTCCTTTCACCTACCGATGGACAAGAATTCTGCACCTGGGATGGCCTGGGATGGCTGAACGCGCTGCAAAGATGATCAACTATTCGGATAAATCACCAATCGCATTTCCCTTAAACCTCACGACGCACTAGGTCCAAAAGAAACTCACATTACAGGGTTCGCCAAGGTGACGCTTCAAATCATCCTTTTGGACTCGGGAACCTGGGGCAGTGGCAATTTTTAATTTTGGCTGCAACCACATCAAGCCCCTGCCTTTGCTAAAGTGAACCAACCAAAAAGGCTACAAAAGGCCGATCGCCTTTGGAAGGGCCTTTGGGACCCGACCAAAGGGCTTTGTTTTAGGGTCGGCAACGTTTTACACTTTAAAGGGCACTCTTTTTGGTCCAATACAGAGGTTAACACAGGTTTCGCAACCCGCTGGGTGTCTGGGATTTTGGCTAAGGGCTACTGTAACCTTTTGGAAGCTTGACTAAATATGGACCAAATCCGGCAACCACAGGGTCAAGTGAGAACTGGAAAGCCGGAGCCATCTTGGGTTGTTTTAGGGTACCCCGATATGATAGGGAGGGTTTGCCTTTTGGTTTCCACCCAGAAACTCAGTTGAGCGACTCTATAAACCTCCCATGAATCCCTATGTCGTATCAAGTTGCTTACGCGCGAGCTTGCGCTTTCCTTACGCGACCCATGTTTTAGCTTACGCGGCAGTCAGCGAGCATGTTAAGCTTACGCATGGCTTACGCGTGGGCGTTCTGAGCGTTTCCCCTCAAGAATTGCTTACGCGAGCTCCTTTTTTCATGAAGACGCCAGAGCTGTTCAAAACTCTGAGGAAGAAGATGACGAAGAACTACCCTCACGAGTCTCAGCGGCTTGGCATTGTTGTTATTGCTGCAAGTCAAGAAACGGGCTATGCGGCAGCGGCATCCATCGCGAGGGCTAGCGGGCAGCCCAGCTAGGCGAGCTTACGCGAACCTTACGCGCCTGCTTACGCGAGCTTACGCGCCTGAGCCCCTTTAGTTTTCCTAGATCAGCGGTTTCAGAAGCCTTTGTTTGTCCTAGTCAAGGTTGCAACAGCACCTAGCATGAGCCCCAAGAGCTCCCAATCAAGGTTCTGCTGGTTTTGTCTTCTTATTGATGTGCACAAGCGGTCTTAGACGACTTCTTGCAGCCAAAGTCTCCAGGCAAGTTGCCAAGCTCGACTAGGTTGCAACAGCACAAACCACCAATAATATCCTAAGCACAGCTCTTCCGAGCATGCTTACAAAGCTTACCAATCAATCACGAAGAAGAGCTTACGCAGGTGCTTACGCAGCTTGTTTCCCCAAAAAGTGCTTACGCCGGCTTACGCCGTGCAGGGTTTTGCTTACGCGGCGCCTTGTCATGACACAACTCTTGCTTGGGATGTAACGGGGGTTTTTAGAGCTGCTCACAGTTGTTCAGTGAGCCTGGAAAAAAGGGAACCCCTGTTGGGGAAGACCATGTTTAGTGGGGCAGCCACCCAAAAAAAAGAAAAATAATTGGTGCCGCTGAAGAACTGAGGAAAGGGTGTCCTCAAACAAGCGCCCAGGACGACCGGTGCGGCGCCGGACGCCGAGCCTTGGCAAAGTAGCTCTGCCCATCTTCCACCGCACAGGTCAGGGGCCGGTCCGGCGGGAAGGTCTGAACGAACGGAGGCGTCGGCTTGGGGTCTGACCCTGTCGGTGCGTTTCCTTTTTGGAAGGAAACGAACCTCCCAGAAAGAACCATGGAACCTGCAAGGAGAATATTCTTCCAGGAAACCCAGTGCAGGTGTCTTATGTTTGCTGTTTAGAAGGGCGCCCTTTTGGCGTTAAAAAGGAAAGCACAAGGAACCGAGGCCCTCGTTTTTGGGGGTCTCCTGAAAAGAAGGCAGACCCGCCTGGCGCCTTGGACTCCAACGTTGGACGTTCTAAAAGCGGGGTCCGCAAATCAACTTATGCAGAAACATCCATTGCCAGGATCTCCGTTTGAGGCACAAAATAGTTACAAAAGTTATAGGTATCACGGGAAAAGCCATGTTTCCAAAAGGGTGAACACATGGCTTTTGGGGGTCACACCAAAAACTAGCCAAGTAATTGCGTGTCTCTGTTTTCTTGAAGGTTTCTCTGTTCTGTTTTCGCTTGGGAACCAAAATGCAACCCATGAGGGTCACCCCGTGAGCTACACTCGATTATATAGTTCTAGGGCTTCGCAGTAGACTTGGACGCCCGCTTTGTCACCGGTCCTTGCACTCCGGGGCCATGTGCGTGGGATCCTTCCAAATTGTCTGCCTGGTGGTTTGGTCATAGGCAGTCCACTCAAAGACACAGCATCGAGTGCGGAGCACCCGGAGCGCCCCGGCCCGCGACCGCCTGCCGCAGGCGTGCCCCCGCGGAGCTGTTGCTGCCCAGGCTTGGCGCGACTCGGAAAGCGCTGGAGAGAGGCAAGGCCTCTCAAACCTAATGTGGCCCCCGCTGTTGGAAACGTCAGCCGCAAACGCAGTTGCATAACCTTGAGCGCGGTTGAGCCGGGCAGGTATCGCAGCATGAGAGCTGTCGTACACAGTATGAAAATAGGCTCTCTGGTGGACAGTTTGGCTGGACCAGGCACACATCCAACCTGATAGCACTTGTTGAACGCTTTTTCAGGGAGAGTGGGACGCCCTGTGAGCCCCGGTTTTGCCGTGCTGTGGGCTGCGTTTTGCCTTGTTTTATATCTGAACCCGCCGAAAAGAGTAATGTGAATCTTCGCTGGAAGCGTTGCCTGGTCTTCCAAGTCGTCCCTTGCTTCCAGCAAGCAGCTTGGATTTTCAATACCTGGGCTCTTTCCTGGGTCAGAGGTCACAGCATCTGTGCCGCAAATTCTTGCCACATCGCCAAGTCCTTGTGCAAGCTGCTGAGTACTACCTTGAAAGCATCCAACAGCATGACGCAAGGTAACACAAATCAGACCCCATATAACTCAGCCAACTTGGGTATATAGGGTCTGAATTGTTGTTTGTTCGTTTTTCGGGATTGATTGAAACAGTCTTAAAACAAACACGTGAGAATTGCTGGCAAATACACACACGCACACAGACAAACAAGCAAGCAACACGGCAAACCCCCATGTGCATAGCCTAATGCGGTGTGCTCAGCCTAATGGGGTGTGCACCTCTGGATTCTTGGTTTGGTTTCTTTTGTTGCAATCAAACCTCGTGGGCGCGCTGAAACTTTTTGAAATGCTCTGGACCTTGTTTTGGAAGTGAGCTGTACATATCTGGACACGCGTGCTATGCTAGAAACATACTAGACATGTAGGACGACGCCAGGCCTATGCAGGGTCTAGAAATGTGCTATAAACGCTAGCTACACACTAGACATGCCAGACACATGCTAGGGCTATATTAGGCAACTAATTACTAGACAAGTGACATGGCTGTAAATAAGTTGGAGCTATCATGTCCAAGCTGGGAATATTGTGGATACACGCTAGGGACAGGTTCGGTGTGTACTGAACTACGCAAGGTTTGCTAGCCATATGCTCTAACATACCTAGAAGTAGTGTCAAACATATGCTGGATATAGACAGGTGAGCAACACCAAGTACTAGACAATGGATATATATATATATATATGTAAACTATACATACGCAACATGCTGCACATGATAGATACATGCATATACAAGGCAGTTGCTGCCATGTCCGTTGATGCAGTAAATGAAGCAAGTTCGGACCTCGCCGTCCGCACGCTGGTCTTTGACCCCCTGCAAGAGCCAAGCATGTTTGTAGCTAGCAGCGAAGAATAAAGGGCGCGTCCAAAACATTCAAAGCAAGCTTGTTGCTGCGCAGGCAGATCTAAATCAGCTGGTAGATTCTGGAAGGGAGCCTCCAAGAGCAACCATGAACAGGAGAGAAACCTCGAACCCATCCAATGACCAAAAGGAGTGCAAATCGCCTCCCTCGCCGGGCATCTGGGGCGCTTGCAGTTGAGGGTTCCCTAGTCATTTCCCTCTACAAATAACCCGTGGTTTGGTCAAAGGGTTTCCTTGTGACATCACTGGCCTCAAGATGGTATCCAATTCTGGGCTGTCATCAGGTCCGTTAAAAGATTGACTTTAATGGGCTAAGTGGAAACCCCCGCTAAGCCCGAAAACCTAAAAACCTAAGGGGTGGGAACAACTAAGACTTGATTTGTCAATAGACCCTAATTATTCTTCTCCCTGACTATCTCTTCTTGCCCTCATTCACAAAGTCCCTCGCAGCACACACTTTTGGTAGTCCAAAATGGGGCTGCCCTAGTAGCGCAACTATGTTCCTCTGGTTACATTCCTAGATAGCCAAGTTGCTGCTGTCTTCAGTCACTGCTGCTGATTTTTGGGGTACAGTGAATGAAAAAAGCAGCAGCTGGCGATCCAGGTTGTTGCTGATAATTGTTCAGAGGGGCGCGCTTTCTCTTCCATTTAAAAGACCAATGGAAAAACAAGTAGTGAACAAATCCTTTTAAAACCAATAAGGGAAAATAAAAAGTACTATTCAGCCATGGAAGGCGTTTCTTTCGGGGTTCCGTTTCTGCCGCATAACCGCCGAGGTCAAGCGATGGCTAGCGCTTTGGCCCATTTGGCAAGGCCTTCGCTGACTCCAATGAGGCACCTCAGCCTATGGAACCATCCTTCAAAACCAAAACAAAATTGGTCTTCCAGGACGCCTCTGTCAGGTTCCAGGTTTGGTGGGAGCGTACCGCACTTCAACTTTTGGGGTAGCCCCTCCCCTTCAATGATTCAAAAACTACAAGGACAAAGGCTGGTTGCCAATACTGCCAGTACTGATATCGACCGTCAGCAAGTTACTTGACTAGGTCCTTAAGGATACCCTTTTTTCTGTAGTTTATTTCAGTCGGGGAACCCTCCCCCAAAAAAGATACGCTAAAAGAGCACCAATTGCTGGGGGACCTAGATGACAAAGGGGAACCGCGCATTGAGGGTCGGATTTGTCGGCTGCCAGGGGCCAGGGCCCCCCACTGCTGCGCGGCGTGTCCGACTGCTCCGCTTGCGGCGAGCCAGGCTGGCGAGTGGAGTGATGGCCTCCCTTCATGCTCCATCAAAGAGGCGACAAATCAGTCCGGAACAGACGATCCGCACGTTCTGCGCTTTTCCCTTTACCAGCCAAAAGGGGTACCCTCAAAATACACACACACACACGCGCGGAGTTGGGTGTGGTAAAAAGCAAAAGGCGCCAAACAACTGAGACGTGTTCTCTTCTCTTGTCTTGATTTTTATTGGGGGGATGCAGGGGTTTGTTCAACCTCGAATCTAGCACCAAACATGATATACCATCATGGCATGGTCTTATTAGATTATTGTAAGTTTAGGATTGATGGTTTGGAGGTGCTCCGGGGTAGTAACCCTCCAGGGGTCCAAATCCAGTTCCCACCAATCCAAGCCGCCCACGGCTAAGGGTTATATGCTCAATAAGCGGCGTTCTCGAGCTCTTGCAAGCATCACCATATCCAATGGAACTCAGGATTGACAACCCTTGACTTTGTCTGTGTCCCCTTTTTGTGGCCGTGTCTTAAACGGGAACCCCAGAAATGGTCAGTTTCCTTCCGCTTTCCCTCAAAGACCACTCCGGCCTTGGCAATGCTCTGGCCCAGCACCGCCGCGGCCATTTCGAACCTGGGGCATGATCGGTTCGATGGGTCCGGGAGGTAGCGGGGTTTGATTTTTTTGGGCTGGTTTTGGGGGTTTGGGGGATTGATTTTTTTTTTATATTTTTTTTTGGGGGGGGTTTGGGGGTTTGGGGTTTGGGGAATGAACAAGGGATCTCCGCAAAAAGGACACCAGAAATAGTGTAGTTTCCTTTCGCAGTCGTTTCTTGGCCTTTAGCAACAATAAAAACGCAGATGGGAAGAGGGCCCTAGCACAACCGGAAATATAAACCGCGTTTAAAACCGCGGTCTTCCAACAGGTGGAAACATGATCATGCTAAAATGGTCTTCTCCACGAGCGATTCACGTCCCGAAACGGAACTCAGGGAGTGAGACGAATGGGCGACGCGCAGCGGGGCCCGCGCTTCTTGCTGGCCATCTGGATGGTGGGCCTCCGGTCCGCGTCCCGCACCAGCAAGAACCTGGAAGCCGAATGAGAGTCAGATGTGAAACCTGAGAGTGAAATGTGAGAGATAGACAAAGAAACAAAGAGAGGTAGATGGATAAGATAAACAGCCAACTAGACAGGCAGAGAAAAAGCGAGATAACTAGACAACCAGGGTTTTGGGTAGCTTCTTACATGGGGAGATTTCATCCTGGGTTGAATTTATTCCCAAGGTGAGTCAGAATCAACAACCTGAGAGTAAAATGGTCGACCCGAAACCATGCAAAGTTGAAATCCTGAAGCATGGCCCACAGAAGCCTTACTTTCCCAATTTTCGGACGTTAACCACCTTTTGGAAATATCTTTGCAGGGTAAGCAACAATTAGACTTGTGTTGACCACACGGTTCTATGAGCAGCTTCATGTTTGTTTCTCAAAGAGTCTAACATGCTGCAGACTAGTCGCACGCTTGTCCGATCCGCTTGCCTCGGCCCGCTATGTGCAGCCGGAGGGGGTCTGGACCCATTTCTCTAGAAGGTCAAAGGTCATTTGAGTCACAATCCAAACTCGCGTAATTGGAGGGCAGTAAGGGACAATCGGATTCTCGAGAAAAGGACCTGACAAAGAGCCTGCTTCATGCCCGGAGTGGATTCGTGCTGCCGCGGGTCCCAAAAAAGCAAAGCCATCAAACGCCGGCCCCTGAGATTGGAATTGCGAGGTGATCCCAAAAAACCATCCAGAAAGGATACTAATCCGGGTTGGGGGATGAGTGAGGATGTTTTTGTGGGCCCAAAACAAGTCGATTCAAATGCGAGATAGCTAAGACTCTTCCCTGCCTTCTTGTATGCCTGGTTCTAACCTCTCTACTGGAGGACCTAGTCACCTCTAGGCGCTTTTCTCATTCTATAGTCAATCAAAATGGTTGCCCAAGAGGACAACATATGAAGACCCCCAAACAGAACAGCCCCTTGCGGGCATCACTTTGCAGCAGCTTCTTTCATTGAGTATCCGGCGCAAAAACCATGAGATGGATGCACCAACCCAACAATTGAAATCGAGCCACGCTTGGATGGTCAAAAGGAAAGCCGAAAGGAAACCACACAGCGCTCGGGGGTCTCCTTCCCACGCCAGGCCGTCGCCACCAACCCCCGAGCCCTTCTAGAACGTCGCCATAGGTAACAGAAAATTAGGACGCGTATGCCACGGTCAAAACTCCGTTTGTCTCCTTTGGTCTGTTCTTTGTGTCTACCTCAGCCCACGCAGCGAAAGTCGCAAGGTAAGTACTAATGTAAACCGTGGCCCGCCCGAGGAAAAACACTACCAGCAGCTGCAGACTACAGGGTGCATCTGGAAAGCCTGGATGCGCATCCTTGCGACACCTGCTTAGTTCAAAAGGGTGTCCCCTGGATCTTTGGTCCGCGAGCATACTTGAGTAGCTCACTACAATACTAGGCGGACGACAGCTCTGACTCCCAATCTGCACCATCAACGCCTCGGCTATTACAATGGGAAGCCTTACAATGATTCTCGAAACCTCCTGCAAACAGCTTAAGCACAACAATATCATTTTCATAGCACGCATGGTTTACCTGCGCCTGCCCTGTTCTTCCACATGCAAATGTGTTTTTTGGCGGTCCCGCAAATGAGGTGGTTTTAAAGGGAAATCAAAGGATCATTCATTTTAGGGCCCCCTATTCTGAGACAATTTTATTGTTCTAGCTTTTGGAATAGTAAAGTTTGGGGTTGTCTCAGAAAGGAAACCGCCATTTCGCAGGTCCCAAATGCTCTCCACCTGACGCGGGAGTGGCTAAAAATCAAGCAGCTGGGGCATTTCCAGGCCTGGGGAGCTTCATTTTGGAGCAGCTTGTGGGCATAGGTGCCCTTCTAGCGGAAATTGATGGCCCTGGTAGATGATTCAACAACCAGGCAAACCAGGGCCATCTATTTTTCTAGCAAAACAACCAAAAAGGACACCTATGTTTGTGGGATTCCTGATGCTTTTTGTCCAGCAGGCGGTTGCGCTGGCCTCAAGTACTCCAAGAGCAGCGGGTTCTTGTCCAGGCGTTGCTCATTCTCCTGAGACTGCAAGCCCTGAGCAAAAGCGCTTTTTTCTTCCACACTGCTCAGCCCAGCCCCGGCATCTTGAGCGTGCCTGTGCGGGCAGGTAGCAGCGTTTACAAATCAACTCAACCCACAGCCTAAGTCGAATGGCCATCAATGGCATCGTACCGCATCGCCTCCACTACAACCATGATTGAAGTGACATCCTCAAGCGTACCCTCAATATGTTCTATTTTTTGGAAACCATCGGGACTCACAAGGAATTTGGGGAACCACTTTGAGAGGCCTGAGTGGGTGAAAATTACGTGTGAAACTGGCTGTTGTCTTAGTGGGAAGCAGGCAAATTCAGTTTCTGGTCTGTATTCCAGCGCAGCACCCTGCTTTCCCGCACTCATCTTGCCTTTGGAGGCAAAGGGCATACTAATAAGATGAACAAGTTATGAGTAGAATGCGTCATAATCCAGATGCTTGCGCAACCTACAGAATAGAAAAGCAGAAGTAAGGTAGTAATACGAGACGGAACAGCCCATTCTCTTCCTAGCCGCGCTCAGGAGAAAAAACGGAATAGGGTGGATTCAGCAAATAAAGACTTCATTCACTCTTGGAATCTCTTCTCCTTCCGATGCCAGCTCTACTCCATCCCTAACACAGATTAATAATTCGTGAAGACACCAAGCTAAAAAGAGGAATATCTATCGTGCAATAAAATAACGCATCCTTCCCCCCTAATGTTAACCCCGTGTTTTAGTGTGAATATCATTGTCGTGGCATCCGTCCCCTGGAGGCAGCTCTTGCGAGAGATCTGCCAGGAAAATGGCCGGATAGGAAAATGGCCAGAGAGCTCCTGCAGCTTTTGCAAATGGTAGGGAAGCCTGGCAGGCACGCTTTCTTGGCTCTGCAGTTAGGATACCTTTCAAACATGGGTTTCTTGGTTTTGCAAATGGGAGCCCTTACAGGGTTGCTCAAAAACAGGCACACGAGGCTCATGACATGCGGAGATGCTTGCCTTTGCTGTTCTTGCCACAGTTGCTTCTGCCAGCTCGCGTTGGCTTCTGGTCCCCTTAGGACGAATCAACGTTTTTTGAGGGCACGCCCCTTTCGTGGCTTAAAGGAGCCAAGGTGCAATATTCGGTCATGTGGTTCGCGAGGCCCAGTCGGTTCAAATTTTATGTAGTCTATTTGAGTAGGGGAGCCCTCCCCCAAAAAGGGGTAAAAGGCACTACTGGGGGACCTAGTCAACCGGTCTCGCTGTCGAAAAGGGGAGCACCAGAAAAGCGGGAGTCCTCGTTGATCACGTCGCCGGACTTGCCAGTGGCACACGCCCAGTGGGAGGCGATGTCGTAATCCTGGCATGCATGGGCTTCTTGCCATTCAATACCAAGGCGAGCGTCTGGGGCCAACAAAAAAAAGCCAAGGTGAACTTTAGACCTAGTCTACTTTGAAATACAGCATGTTCAAGCCTACCCAAAGGCTCTTGGTAGACCTCACTGGCTGAGTGGATGGCCCAGAAAAAGTCCAAACTTTATATTTACCACTAAAATGGTCTACAATGCCTACCCTTGCCTAAACCCACAGCTGAACATCTCCAAACGTGGGTGCGAAACATCAGTACATAGAGCCCCAGGGCTACCTGCCTATAGTCTAGCGGCAACTTCCGACCACTCTAGACTGTAACTCTAGACACTGGGCTTTCTCTTTCCGGACAATCCAAACACAACAAGAAGTACTTCGTGAAAAGAAAGATGGTTGAAAATAATGGGGAACAAACCCCCTGGTGGTGTCATGTCCCACTTCATCCTGGGCCACTACGCCCCCCGAGTGCGTCTGGGCGGCACTGTATCCATGCCTGTCAAATGACAAGCATCTCTGCAAAAGCGCGTCTGCTCAGCGCTATACCGAAGCCGCACAAGCTGTTCAATCCACTGTCTGGCTGCTGAGCTAACTTGTCTTTGTCTAGGAAACGAGACCTCAAAACAAACATGGGTCAGCATCTGACTACACTGTTGCGAGTTGCGAGTGGGAGTCTCTGCAGATTTGGCATATGGCCATGGGTCAAAATCCTGTACCCCCAGTGAACATTCCAATCCCCACTAAAATCCCGACTAAAAGGGGTAGTGCACCTACCCCAAAATGGGATCCCATTGGTTTTGACCCACAGCCATATGTCTGGGCCGTTCCTTCCTCGCCGCGATGGATGGCTTTCAAAATTGCGAGTCCTTGGTTTATGCTTAGGGCGCGGCAACCCCCCCCCCCCCCCGCCCCCGTGCGTCCAACATGTTGGTCCAAATGGAGTAAACATTCAACTATGAGAGGTTGCAAAGCATGCTTGCCATGTTTGTGTTTTTTTTGTTTTGACACAAACACAGCTTGGACGAACATCCACATTGCCTTCAATTAAACTGAACCAGAAGCTTGACTCATCCCTGGGTCCATACTGCATAAGCAGCCTTGCACATGTTCGAGAGCGCGCAAATCCAAGTTGGTCTCAAAAGGATATAACACTCACCGCGGAGCGCCGAGCAACACGGAACACCTGGAACGAGTTCCCCCTATAGTCAGTAGGAAACGCCATCCTTTGGTCTCCAGGCACCCAGAAGCATCAAATCGCACCCGCAGGGATCCACGGGATTTTAATTTGAGACCTCCAAAGATGGGATTCCGACGTGTTGAAGGGCAGGGTGTGGCTCAAAATGAAACGATCGGAGGGGCAAACCGCAGGTGTTGGTACCCATGGTTCCACTGACCGATCGGGCAACCCATGTTGGAATTTTCCTGTTTTTTGAATTCGCCACCGCCGTATGTTGAGAAGCCCCGGCTTTTCTGTAGTAATTCTCACGTCCCAAGTTGACTGGCCAAAAAAAGTTTGAACTTTTTATTTACCACTAAAATGGTCTTCCCAAACTCAGGAAGTGAGAATTACGTATACCCCGTGGTCATGCGGAGGCTCCTGGAAGAGGAAGCGCCCAGTGAGAAGCTCAAAGAAGAGACAGCCCAGCGACCAAATGTCCGCGGCCTGAAGTGGTGGGGCGTGGGGCTTGTCCACCAACCCATTTTCCGAGGGATACCTTCTCTTTCCATTCTTTCCAGGAATCCTTCTTTCTAGCAAATTTTCCTGGTAGTGAAATGAGGCACAATCAAAACCCGGTATTAAGATGCTTGACCCAGAACCATGTAAAGAACTTAGAAGGCGGCTGCAGCTATTTATGGTTGGGATTGTCCCTTACTAACCTTCACTTACCCGGGCTTTGATTGTGGCTCATGTGGCCTGGGTCCCGCCATCTCGACGAAGCCACAGAAAATCGTTGGCTAGACATGGAGATCTGGGGTTGACGCGCGAAACAGCCCTCCTCAACAAGTGCTAGGGGGTGGGTATGTTTGGGGCCCCATTCTGCTGTGACCATTGGGTGCTTTTTAACATCAGTGTCAACCGGAAGCACTGAGACTGATATAAATGGCCGTCCCCCCTTTTGTTCCACAGGAAACACACAGAACAGGGGTGCTACTTGGCAATAAAGGAAACCAGGTGGGTTACCCTCTCAAACACCAAAGGTAGGGTCTATGTCCCCATGTTTCTGCCAAGCACAACATTAGCTTTCTCCCCGGCGACCTCTTTTTTCTCCTTTTGGGTTGTTTTTGTTTAAAGGGAAACCCTGAAAGGGTTTCAACTATACCCATGGTTTTCGTGAAATTTTGGCCCTAAAACAGACCACACTGCCGATGCCACGTGGCTCGCGCCTTGTTGGTGCCCACCCGCTTGCGCCGGTCGTGCACCTTGGAGTCTCGTCGGCTCACCTGGGCGACTTTGGGATTCAATGGGCGGGGCAGAAGTTGGGCGGTGGGTCAAAAACAGTGTACCCAAAATGGAAGCCTAAATGGAATCCATGGACCAAAACGGTTTTGTTTTTGGTGGTTTGAGTTTGACCCATACCCCTTTCTTTCCAAGCTCAGCCTTTGATCCTTTTCACCCCTTTCGTTGAAGGCTTTTCTGAAAATTGAGGATTCCCTGTTTCATCACAAGGTTCGCACCCAGCCTAGCCTCGGGGAGGCCGAGATTTTCCCAACACCGGGGAACCCTACGTAGGGTTCGAGCCTTCCTTGGGGGGAAATGGGGCCGATGCTTGGCGGATGCGGTGTTTGGAGGCCCTTCATGTGGCGGACCGCGGCGGACAAAATATAAACCGTGCACCCGGATCGCTGAAAGCTTGTTGGAATAAACCACCAGTGCCGGAGATACTTGGTCCATCCACTGGCGGGCCGCAAACAGAAATAGGTCGGGAGAGAAAACAGGATTACAACTTGGTACGGGGTTGTCCAGATTGAACCGCTTTTGGGAGGCTATAGACTTGGAATGTGTGCAACAAATGCGTAACAAACTGTTGCTAGTTTAAAGGTACGATCAGCAGTGAAAAGGGCAAGTTGACGAGGTGAAGAAGAACGGCTGAGCAGATCCTGCGCGGGCTGAGAAGCCAAAGGCATTGGCAATCAGCCCTCGCTGTTCACGAGGATTCGAGGATGCCCTATTTTGAGATTTAAAGGGAAGGAAACGGAAAGCCAATCCCTTCTAAGTCCTCCAGTAGAGAGGGCAGAATAAGGGTACCCTTTTTTCTGTAGTCTATTTTAGTAGGGGAACCCTCCCCTTTTTAAGTAAACGGGCAATACTGGGGGACCTCGCCTTTTTGGGTGTCCGCCGATTTTGACACATTCGCAGATGGCTATGAGTTTCAATAGGGCAACCTTTTGTGCATGGTTGGTGGACACCAACCCCCTTTAAAAGTGATGCCCACCAAAGAGTTCCTCATCAAAATCCATTGTCACAATTACCCATATTATGTAATGGGTGTGTCTTTGTTCGGGGAGCCCTCCGAAACGATGATTTGCCTGCCAGCCGGCCAAGAAAAAAAACAGGTACGAGAAAGACAGAGCCGTAAAAAAAGGAGGGCGCTGGCTGGAAGCGGATTCGGATTTCCATTTCGACCTCGTCGATGGCAGCCACTTTGGGCCCCGGCGACCTCCAGCTCCAACATCTCAGGCCCCTGAAGTGCGGGTTGGCGTTTTTTTTTTTGCGCGCAGGCAACAGTCTAGGGGTTGATTCCGTGTCCATTCTCTTCAACCATCCTTCTTTTCAACAACCAGATCCGTTTTCCCTGAAATTCCGAAGGTTTTCTAGAAAGAAGGATCCCTGGAAGGAATGGACATGGAAGGTACCCCTCGAAACAGGGTTTGACCCACGTCTCCTGAAGCTTTGGAATCAGGGGGCGGCCCAAGGAAGTGGCGGAAAGTTGGTTGGGGAGTTGGGGTCCTGGTTCTTGTAGAGTTTTGATGGGAGACCAATCTCGGAACACCTCCAAACCACCAATCCTGAACATCTGGGGTACACAGAAACAAAACTTTCAGGTTCCATATGTAGTCAAGCGTAGAATGTAGTTCATCTTGGTCTAAGGCCGGTCCATATATGAACCCACGGCCATTTTGGACATTTTTGGGACTGATTTCCCATAATTAAGCCACAACTAGCGGATGATTTAACCACAAACTAAAATTCGCTGGGCTGGCCTTCGTGAGCAATTCTCCGGGCAAAGGGCAGGCTAAAGTAAAAGAAGCCACACCACATCTTACCGGTGCTCAGCAGGGAATGAGAAATGCAATGAACCGGTTTGGAAATCCCTTAACGGAAACCATAGCTTGGATGGTTTATAGCATGGGCCATTCCATGTCTCATTCCCTGCCTATCGCACCAAGCCATTGAATGGAAAAATGCATTTTGGTGGTAAACCGTTCGCAGTCTCACATGAAAAAAAAGAACAGCCCGCCTGTCAGAAGCGAGACAGGTCTCAAGTTCAAAGGCTGCTTATATGGACCAAACTAATATGAACCCATGGCAATTTGAACCAAACATATGGGTCTGACTTTTTTGTTTGGGGGGGGACCCCAAAGACATATGGGTCAGTCTTTCTTTGTCCTTCTTTTTGTGGGGGGGTACCTTGTGTTGGTGGGAAAGCCAGCATTGTGACATGAACCCAGGGCAACCAAAAGCCATCAATGCCTGGTTAGCCAATAAACTACGACTAGGGGTTCATATCACGAGTGGGTTCATGCATTCAGCCTTATTACACGATGCCTTCTCGCATGGCAGGGAAGCAGGTGCCTTGAACACGCGTAGCTGTCTGGCGGAAATGTTTGGCAGCTTGTGAGGAAGAAGTGGGCAAAAAGCCACGCTGGAAGTCGGACATTGCTGAACGTTAAACAAGCCGCAGACTCCGGGTGTTTGGTTGAACTGGGGCCGGGGGTCCACGGGCAGAAGCGGAAGTTGCCAAACCTGGTCCATTTTAACAAGACATCCTCAAATTGACCCTCTCGATTCTGGTTAACATCGCCCCAAAAGCAATTTTGAGAACCCCTCAACACGTTCAGTTTGAGGGACTCAACGAAACTGAACGATCATCCGGCTATGAATTTTCATAAGGGACCCTTTGGTGGACATCATTTCGGTGGGGATTCATGTCCACCAATAACTTTTGAGGTGGTTCCCTATTGAAATTCATGGCCATCATATTTCTTCTGGCTGACTTTTTGAGGGGGACACCCACCCGAAAAAAGTCGAACTGGATGTGGAATACTTGGTCATAGAGCCATGCGAGTTGATCCCACGTTCGAGATGGCTGTCTCAAAGTTGCAAAAGTTTCTCCTCTTGCATTGTCCCCCCCTCCCCAGCCACGAACAGTAATGGATGTTTAGACACCAGCACGGTGGTTTGCCAGCCATACATTAATGTTCCGCTGTACACCGCGCGCTTCATCATCCCACCAACTCACTCCCTGAGTGGATTGGCAAAAAAGTCCAGGAACTCGGGAAGAGACACAAAAGCCACGTGCCTTGAAAACAAAAGGCAAAAAAGGCACACACGCACACACACACACACACACTCGGTTGCTTTCTGCTCCCCTGCCAAAAAATATATAACTTTAGTGGTTTAATGGAAAACCCATTGGCTGGCAAAAAGTGTTTAGTCTTAACATACTGTGGATGGACGAAATCCTGCACCGCTTTGAAACCATAAGAAATCATTGCTGGTTGGCATTTACAGGCAAATTATAATTTCATGGTTTCTCAGGTGGTGCAGGATGTCGTCCCTCCACAGTATGTTTAGCAAAATGCAACAAAGCACACAGGAAGCAACATGGTGCGACTGTTGAAGCCTCCATCTCGGCAAACCCATCTCCGGTTTGGGCGCACCGGGAAAATGCTGGGGAACCGGATTCTGAGTACTGGCAACCCACCGCCATTGTGTTTGGCGGATTCCCTTGAAAAGCCCTTTGACATGGACTCCCTGTCAAAACAGTATGGGTGTTTCTTTAGGGACCCCTTAGTGGACATCATGTGGGGATTCATGTCCAACCGCTTTTGAGATGATTCCAACTCTTTAAAAATCAAAGCCAAGTGTGTTTGCAAAACGGAAAAATGCGGAACGAGACTCAACCCGGCCAACAAAACGCAAAGGCGAGCTAGCCGGACGGCGAGTTGGACGCATGCCTTTTGCCAGGCAGGTGGCGGAAGCATAGGACACGTTTCTGCAGGTGTCCTGGTTCATCACTTCTGGAGGGGAACACTCCCATATTAACAATGACAAGTAGGGGTGCATTTGTCCAGGGTCAACATTAGTTGGGTTTTCCTGCTTTTTGCAAGACAAACACTAATTCGCCCCTTGTGACCTTGGAACCTCACCATGTTGTTGGTTCAAGGCCGGTTTTGGAGCTATGGATGCATGTATAAATATATATATATATACATACATACACCAGTAATATACCTGTACGCCTTGCAAAAGCCGTCCACCTTACCCCCAAATCCCACTTCTGAACATGTAACCGGTTTTTTAGCTCCCAGCTTTTCCTTCCAGGGCAGAAAAACAACACTTCTCTCACGCGCAAAGAAGTCCACCAAACCAAAAACAAAAAGCACTTATATATATATATATAAACAAAAGAAGCAAACCAAACGAAGAAACAACAAGAGAGAAAAATCAACAACAACAAAACGCGAAGCGAGCGATGGGAGTCGTCGCCTTGATGATCTCGGTGCCGCGGTTCCGCATGTCGAGCTCTTGGGAGTTCTGAGATCGAATCGGTGCGAGGTCAAGCGAAGAGGCCGGGTGGGGTGCTTCTCAAAATTGGACGGACCCATTTTATGGCTTGTCACATTGGCTCCTTTTGGTTTTCCTTTAGAACCCCCCAAAAAGGGGTCCGAAGATTTTATGGCTTGTTTACATTGGGTTTGCACGCCAGGATGCAGACAGTTGTGTTGATGCTTTTATGCACTTCATGAAGCCAAATGATGCCGTTGGTATTTTCTATTCCAATTCATGACTTGCTTCCTTTTTTCCCTTTAGAACCCTCCAAAAAGGCATCCGAAGTTCTGGAGAAACAACCCCGGCCCTTGCTTTTTTGGGCGGTTCGCCCCGTTTGTTGTTGGCGGCCAAAAGGCGGTTTGGAGGTGGAGGGTGGTGAAACCATCTACCCATTAGAACCAGGGGTTCAAATCCCCAAACCGATCCAAACCACCAAATAGGGTTATCTACAAAAAAGGGAATCGTAGGGTCAATGCCAGGTGGGTAAAACAAACTAATCAAACCCGCTGACTCAAAACTTGGTACCTGCAAGCCAGGGACTCCCCGGGCGCCATGTTAGGAGGGTAGGGTCTACCGAACTCCCCCCCAAAAATTATGATGTGCACGGCAAAAGTGTAGACACCCCCACCTTTGCAGGGTCCAACTTTGTTTCTCTGAGAAAGTCAAAGGCTTTGCCGAAATCAAAAGCTGCTCATGTGGTCAACGCCAATGGAGTTGTCCTGGTTGTCGAAAACGCTCATGTTCGGTCTGAATACCAACAGGGGAGCTCCCCCAAATCGGTTGGAAGCCGATTTGAAGGAAGGCTCGCCCTTTGGGGAAGCCTGTTGGGCCGATAGTGGCGATCTGGGTGGATTGGGATTCGGGGAGTCCCCAAAACCGGTCACCATGTTCTCCACCTCAGCAGTTTGGTCAAAACCCATCGATGTTTGGTACTAACATGGTTGTAAGTTGGTGATACAGCTATAAGGGTTTCTGGGCCTTGCGAGAACCGCCACCGAAAGCCCATGTGGTAGAACCAGCGACTAAAATGGCTGACGGTGGTTTGGAAGCGCTGCTCATCTGCAACTCATAGCCTCTACAATCATCCCACCTGAAAATCGACCACTGGATCCCCTAGAAAGGGGAGCCGTCCTTTCCTCCTGCCGAGCTCGTTGTTTTGGGGACCCTCCGTGGCGAGCTCGGAATTCACCGCAGATGCCCAGTGGGGCTTGGATCATTTTGGTGGGGCCACCCAAAAAAAAAAATCGAAAAAGAATTGGTGCCACTGAGCAACTGAGTTCCCCCAAAACAAAAAGTTGGCAACGAATGGGCGGAATCCACTGGGCCACCGGGAGCCCCGGTGACTTCGCCCAACCCGACGCCTCGACGCCTCCGACGCGCGCGCCTCCATGATCCGGGACTCCCCAAAGTCTCCCAGGGCCACTTTCGGCACCTCCAGCCCTAGGAACGCCCACAGGACCCGCCGGGAGGACGCCGACAGGACGCCGAAAAAAACGAGGTACACCACACCGGAAAATTTGAGTTTCTGGGGAAGCGCTCTTTTTTGAATTTGTTCTGGGGAAGCGTTTCAAATGTTTTTTTCTAGGGAAGCGTTTCAAATCGATTTTATGTAGGCCCTATATGTATGTTTAAACCCGCAAACATCCGCGTTGATTCCACCGGCACTTAATTTCGATTGTGGCCATTTATAGCCAAGGTCCTCTGTTTGGAGAATCAAATGTCCATTTCCGGGTGTGGAAAGGAATATATTTTACAACAGAGTCAAAGGCCGCAAACACCTGGCACGTCAGGAACTCTAGTTTCATTGGATTTGACTTGGGAAAAGAGCTAGGGACCTCAAACGTGTCCAGGTGAAACCAAAGATGCAACTTCGTCATTCCAGCTGAGGTACCCAAGCGAACCACCCTTTCAACAAAAACAAAATAGTTGGTTGCCGAAAGCAGACTATAGCAGCAACTGGGATCCAAAGGGAATCAGGCAAGCTGGCAATGTAACAGGGATCCGGATGCATTGTACACCTGAACATTGCCTTGTAGATGGTGGTGTCCCTTTGTTTTGGTGGAAAAAGAACCATGTTTCAACTGGTTGCAAAATGGAGATCTTTTAAGGAGCCCTGTGTAAACTCCATTTTTTCTTGCCCGGCTCACCCGGCCACCTAAACAACCGTAGTCCCCCCCGGACCTGGGCAGCTGGGGAGGTGAGCGACTCGGCAGTTTTTGTTGGGTTCTTTGAGGGTGGGAAATGGGCCTCCCACGAATCTGTGATACAACAAAAACTCACTTGCGAGTGGATGGCCCAAAAAAAGTCCAAACTTTGTATTTACCAAAATGGTCTTCCCAACAAGTTTTGTACTCAGGAAGTGAGAAAAGGGCCGAACCCCAAAGACCCACCCCCTGGAGGGGGAGATTCCCAAAAGTATCACAGAAGTGGTTGGACACACCCCGAGTGATCAACCACAACCCTGCTCAAACACGTCTAAAGGCAAGGTGTTTTTTTTCATGTTGACAACCACCTCCCAAATGGCCGGACACTCTCCCCAACTAGAATTCATGCTCAAGAGGCCATGGGTCAAAAGCCCGTATGGCTCAGAAGCCAAATCGTACCTCCAGTGAACATCCGATTCAATCCGCACTGCAGACTAAAATGGGTGGTGCACTCACCCACCCCAAAATGGAACCATTGGTTTTGACCAGCCAAACATGAACCCCCTGGAAAAACCGCTGAACCGCCTCGGCGGAATTCGCAACCGCGGTTCACCGCCGGGCCTGAATCCTCGCTCGGAGAAGCTGCCTGAAACCGGTCGGCGAAACCTTTGAGCTCACACAATACCGCCATTTGCGTTTTCGCCCCCTAGGAAAAATATAAAACATGTCCGGTAGTGATAGATTCCCTTTAAAACCAACAGTGGCAAAAACATCGATACTCTTGACCAAATGGAAGAAACACCGGGGAAGATGGGGACGGTTTTATCCACCCAAAACGAGTCACGATACACACTGCCTTTATTTGTTATGTGTTCTTTTATGTTGTGTTTGTTTTCCTCAAACAAAAACAAGTCGCCCAAACAATCCAAAGAAATGGAAGTGCAGATATTATGTCCGCACCCATTTATAGTTGGGACTTTCCCGGAACTTTTACTTGCAGGTGATGGCTCTGGGAAAAAGGCACGGGTGTGGGAGACCATCGTCAACAACACGGGGATTTGTGATACTCCCAAAGGCGACAGCCTTTACAAGGCCAGGCTTAGACGCTGCAGAAAAGCTAAACATGTCCTTTTCTTGATGTCCTCTCTTCTTTGTCACCGGGCCCGTGGACGTTCTGCCAGTACCGACCAATCGGGCGGGATGCAAAAAGTTAAAAGCTTCTTGTTGATTGAAAGGAGCAAATGACCAGAATGCGAAAAGATGATATGTTGGTTGAAACACCAGCGAGGCAACTTGTTGTTGGTTGAACCTCAAAAACATGATAATGCAAAAAGCTCAGCCTCCGGCCCGGTCTGAGATAACCAAAATCGAAGCGACACACAAACGAGCTTTGGGTACAGGGTACAAATGTGTGTGTGTGTGTGCTGTGCAGAACCGTTTTCCCAAATGCCCAGCTATCAGCTATCTGACCCTAAAACTCTCCAACGAATCAATAATGCTGACCCCATTTGAATCAACCCCAGTTCATGAATTGGGGGGTGGGGAGGCCCTCCAAAAGTGGTCTGATTCCTCACTGAATCCAAGGACAGCCCCTAATAATCAACTGGGGCTGATTAATATACGGGGCCAACATTAGTTGTCTCTTTCAGGCAGCAAAACAACCTTCAGCTTGTCCAGGGCGCCTGGAAGGATACATCCAAAAAAACACATGTATTAAAAAGGGATCAGCTTGTAAAGCTTTTCTCGCCGACTCAAATGTATGTTTTCATGGACCCTGCTATCCGTGCTTGGTTGCCTGGATTGGCAGCTCGAGGAATTGAACGCCTGTTCCCATGACCTTCAACGCAGTAGATCGCAGCCAAAGCCCGAGTCAAATCCTCAAAGGCCTATGAGTTTTACTGCCTGGATCCTCATACATGGTAGCGAAGCCCGATTCCCCAGGTAACATCCACCAACGAGTCCCCAATCGAAATTCACGTTTGCTTCAACCATATGTGGTTTTCCTTTTGGCTTCGCTTTACAACCTACCGAAAAAGGGATATCTCCAAAACAGACACATCCGTATTCAGATCAAAAACTCCTCTGGTCACACCCCGCACACTGATTCCATGAATTTAAGAGAACCCAAAAGATAAGCGTTGCCCGAAAAGCATGTCGGAAAAATGGGTGGCCCGCCGGGATTTGAGGGTACTTTGGATGGTCCCACATGTTCTCCCAATACATGTGACCTTTTGAGTCAGGTCCAAACGAGGGGTGCAGTCCGCAGACCCGAGTTCTAAAGACCTAAGGTTCGGTCATGAATCCTCTACTTAAAGGGGCGATCGAGGCACGGGACGTCCGGTACGTGGTTGGAAAGCCTGGTGAAATAACCCACGGAGACGTACAACCATGGCTTTTGTGGGTTATAGCCATGGTTGTTACCCGCTTACCTGATGCACAATGCCCCCCTTCCAGTATAGGGGGTTCCGAAACCACCCAAAAGGTTATCCTGTTCTGGAAATCATGTGCCACGTGAGGTGTTTTGACGACAGATCTGGCACCGTCATGTAGAAAGTTGGCTAAGCCACGGACAAACTAAGTAGACCGGTCTGTTGCAGGCACAGGTTGAATCCACGTGAGCAACAGCAAAAGCCAATGATTACCATCATTGTAAGGGCGATGACAAGGGTCACACTCAGCAAATTTGGTTGCTAGCTTGCAACATCCCGAGTCGGGGACACAACAAATATTGACTGCGGCTCATATAAGTCATTGACAATATTATCCTTGTGGCCAAAGATCAGCTCATGTAGAGGATCCCGCTGTACATAAGCTATTTGTTTGGATGTATCCTTCCATCAAACCACCATGAAAACAATGGGGATTAATACATTGTGTATCTAAGAAGGTTTACCATTTAGATTGGATCAACCATGATTGTGGGGTTCAACCCCTCGGACGAGCTGCAGTGCTTTGCGGAGACCAGGCCGACCTCCGGGCATCGTGTTGAAGATGTGCCCAATAAGTCTAAGCCCCTAGAAAATGCCCTTACGGGTGTTGGGAATGAACCTAATTCCCTTAAAGGAAGCCACAAGGGATGGTTTACAGTTCAAAAAATCCCTGCTGAGAAACAGCAAGTTGTTGCCTCTCGGGACAAAGCAACAGTCTCCCAAGAAAACAGAAGGTTGCAGCCACGTGGTTGGAACCATGGCCAAAAAAAATGAAACTTGATGTTTTGGGGAGGAGCAGCTTGGAAGCCAATTTCAAGTGGGGAACTCGCCAAGCAAACGGGATTGAGAGGGTGGACTGAACATTGGTGCCCCGAGAACCAAAAAAAAACAAAAAAGGAAGTGACATCCTCGCTGTGCGTGAAACTACAAGGCGTTACAATAACCTCTGCTTGACTTGGTTACCATGGATTTTGATGCATTTTGGGTGGACTTCTGTAATTAATAAGACCGACTATGTGTCTTTTTTGGGGGGGGCAACTAACAAGCGTCACTTTTTGGGGTCCACCTTTTGGGGTGCACACTTGATTGGGCTGGGCCCTAACAGAATTTCATAATTGGAGCAGTGTTGTGGTGTCCCCTGTACGGGTCCCCGAACTCCATTTTGTACCCCCACAAGAGGTTGGCCGTCACTAGCCTTTGGTCTCTTGCAGATCTGATTGGCCTACCTGGGTTACCTGTCAGTCTTGCCAAGCCAAAAAAACACGTCGCCCTGGACATTCACAAGACATGGACCTTCTCACAACTGGTCGGACCGACCCCACGGTCGACATGTTGCAAAGCCTTGAACCTGGAGCCCCAGAAATCCCCGGAAGCAACCCATTTGGGTGTCTCGCTTGGCGGACCCCCAGAAAACGGTGCGGTGTTGCTTCCGTTGCGTGCTCCAAGAAAAAGCCCACAGAAAAAAGGGCCGCCCTCAAAGAAGACAGACCCATGGAGCGGGGTGCATGTGCCCAATGGACAGTCCGAAGCTCGGAGCTTGAAGACATTGAACGACGTCCAGGAGTCCTTAAGTATGATTTCTAAGCGGATTATAATATTTAGATGCTCCCCTGCTAAAAGTGACTAACTTTTAGTGGTGTAATGGAAACCTGAAATAAGGTGGTGAATTTGGGGTTATTCCCCACATAAAGCACCATTTGAATTGAATTCGGTCGTGTGAGGTCGTTATAATTCACACAAATGATTTGGAAAGTTGGTGGAACACGTTGCTGGCGCCAGTCCCCATCTTTGCCATGGGAGTTTTGCCATTACCAGCGACTCTGGCGGACTTCATTTACACACGAAAACCATGTCCACACGTTTCAAGGGTCCAACCAGTACAAATCATACCCGAAACATCCCCAAGAAAAGCTGAGTGAAGACGTGAAAATCACTGAGAAGCTGTTTATTGCAGGAATCTAGGAATCCGTTTGAACAAATTGATGAATGCTACTAGTAAATGGTCAGAACATAGCTGAAACCAGTGGAATCCTAACTAGCCTAACCAAAACAAAACGACTTTAGTCACGCAAGCGCCTGGGGGTCACTTCCACCATGATGTTGTCGCACTTCAGATCGTAGTGGATGATATCGTGCTGGTGTAGCACCGCCAAGCCCTCCCAGGGCGAAGGGGTTCGCGAAGCACGGGGGGGTTTTCGCGAACGAGGCGAGGTGTGGGCGACGCAAAGGAGCCGTCCCTGTACTCCCTTCACTTCAAAGGGGATCCACTTGCCCCCCCCCCCCCCCGCTACCAGCCCTCGGCGCCGCCCGGCCCCCTCCCCACTTGATATGGGGAATCCGGATTGTTTGCACCAAAGCCGCACGTGGGCCGAAAACTCCTCCGCTTCGCATGGATCTATGCGTCCATATCTGTCCAACGAAACATCGGAGCACTTCGCAGCCCGCATCCAAAAACACCGCCGCCTGACCCGCCGTTTTCTTGAAAGTGCTCTTGGGCGGGCGGGCTCCCCACCCCCGACGCACAAATAAAACAACACACCACCGCAAACGACAAATAGGAATGCCAGCGCGCATCCAGTGGGTGCGTCTTTAAACGGGGGACCCCCCAAAATGGGAAGTTGCAGTACATCTTCAGGGGAACCCCAGACGGTTTCCCGTTGGCTTCCCTTTTGAACAACAAGAAAAGGGTACCCTCGAAGAAGAACAGATGCATGTACAAGAATCTGCAAAAGATGCCCATGGATCTCGATAGCGGGCTTGTCTCGACCAAATGGGCTCAATGTTCAGTGCTCCTTAAATCTGCGGTCAGCGCAGGGTTTTTCAGGCCGAAGGAAAACCAAAACGACCGCACCCATTTTTCGACCCCTGGGCCTTGCTCGGAGGTTCGGAGCGAGCCCTTCCAGTTTTCCGGGAACCCTTGGCCTTAGCGTGCCACTCAACGACTGTCGTAGGTCAAAAACTCGGAACCTGAACAACCCTTGGTAGCAAAGAACGTGGATTTTTTTCTTAAAGCCCAACTGAACATGAACAAAACCAAACAACCGAAAAAGCCCAAACACTTGCCAACAACGGTGAAGGAACCATGTTGTCTGTTTTCCTTGTTCCCTTTGAACAACCTGAAACGGGTATCAAACAAAATACCGACCCATCCAAGCAGACCCGTCGTCTCTCGACAGCGCATCTCGCCTTCAGCACCTGCTTGAAAACCGCCAGGAGCACTGGGAGGTGGTCCTTCATCTGCCTGCTGGGTGCGTCGTGTTTTTGGAAGTTGGTGCTCCTGTCTCAAAGGGAACCCAAGAGTCTAGGGTTTGATTCCAACCATTCTTTTCAACCATCGTTGTTTTCTCAAAAACAAGCCGTTTTTGCTGGGATTCTTGAGGTTTTCTAGAAAGAAGGATCCCTGGAAAGAATGGGAAGGTACCCCTGGAAATAGGAAAGCCATTGTCTTGGGGTCCGCTAAGGCTCACTTGAGCCGTGCCGAAAACCTGGTAGAACCCTCAAAACAAACCACTTTTGCCGTGGCAAACTTTCACGGGCATGCGCATCGCTTTCGCCGGAGCTGTCGCAGTGGGTTTGCTGCCATCTACATGGACTAGGCTTGTAAGCTCGGTTCTCTTTTCCTGTGGTGGTTGGACTTACAAAGGCGAGGCAAACAGGATGTGGGAATACTTTCACGGGGCAATTGAAGCTTTCGCGCCGCTTTCGCGTGTTCGGCTGCATTTCGGATTTCGGCTAAGCTCAACAAAGTCTTGACCCGCCCTCACAAGCCCGACGTGGGAGCTGCAAACATGCACTATAGCGGCTGGCTCATCGACAAGCACTTGCGCCGAAAGCTTTCTGGGGGCTTTCGTGCCTGCGTTTTAGCCTTTACCAGGCCTTGCTACGAGAGCCCCTCAACTAATTCCTGTTCATGAGGGGTGTTGGCGCTTACTTGGGTATGAAATGTCCTGGGAGGATCAATTTTAGTGGCCTAAATTATTGGAATGGGGTTGTGAGTGGACGTCCTTTAAAAGAACTCATGTCCACCCAGCACTATTGAAGTGGTTCCAACGCTCAAGTTCACAACCACGCGCGAACAAGTGGATTGGCCACTTATCACTAAATGGTCTTTCATCCCTAAACAAGTATAAACTCCGGAAACTCGCAAGGAGTGGCTTACCACATGGTCCAACTCAAGGGGTGAGGAAAAGAGGCCCAAACTTGCACCGAGCTCCTACCAACGAACCCAGAGGTCCCGAGGCATGTTGGTTTTTGTGCGAGGCTCGCGTTGGTCGGACCCACCGAACATCGCCTTGAAGTTGGTCGCCCTCTTGTCACTAGCCCTTTGCTGGAAACCTCAAAAGCTACCCTTGCAATTTGTTTGCTTTTTGGCATTGGGCATGCAATGTTTGGTGGGTAGTTTGAGGGTGGAGGTCTGGGGGTTGACTCCCGATGCTTTTGAACTATCTTTCTTTTCAAAACCAACCGTGTTCCTTAGGCCTTCAAACTTTCTACAAAGAAGGATCCCTGGAAAGAATGGGAACGGTACCCCTAGCTCAGGTCGCCCTTGCACTTTTTGGAACATGATTTTTCGGCCCCCCAACAAAAACACCGCAAGGCTTCCCTCGTTGGATTTGTCGAACGATCGGCGCTCGACTTTCTGGCTTCCCCTACAAAATCAGGACCTAACAAATGACGCACACACACACACACAACTGGGCTGTCCTCTGATTTCTTGCTGAAAGGGGCTAACCTGTGGGTTAAATGGACACCCAACCACTAAAGCAACTAAAGACCAAACAAAACAAAAAAACGGAGCGGACGGCTGGACACCGCAAAGACAAATACTTCCTTCATGTATCCCACTCTGTGGGTAAGGCTCGAATTTTGTCTAACTCAAACGCGGTCCGCTGAGGTTCAGGGAAAAAGCAAGTGCAGAATATGAAGATCCAAGAATCAATCATGCCCCGCCAAACTGAGCCAGGATCCTACAACAAGGATCCGGAGTTGAACACCACACGACTATTGCAGTACAAGGCCGCTAACGTTGAAGGCTCAGGGGCACCCGACACGGGGAAATTCTCAGCATAAGTCAAAACTTACTCTGTCACGTCGTTCCCTGCGGAACCCTTGCAATGGCTATCTCTTCAATGCCCACGTGGGTGGCTCATCCTTTCTTGGGTTCTTGTGTTCAAAGGGAAGTCAAAAGGGTCTGTCAATTTTTCAGGGACCCCCAAAATGGTTGGTTTTCTGGTGGTTTCCCTTTGATCCACCAACCACCAAAGGATTCCCAGAACCAAGGACGGACCCAAAAGGAACAGCCACTGTTTAACTGAACCCTCAACCTACCCGGGGAAAACAAAACAAAACAAAAAACGGGGGAAACGCCCCCGGCACTTTGAGGGATTTCCCTTTTGCGGGTTTTTCTTTGGCCCTGTTAGTCTGGTCAGAACCGACTTCGCCCCTGGGGCCCGGGCCCGAGGGACGCGCGCCACTTCTTCAGGGTCGTGGTGTAGTACCTGGAAAGACTGGTGTGCTGGTCTGGCGAGTAATGTTAACCCCGGATTAATACACGCCTGGTTGATTAATAGGGGGTGTCCCCTTTTAGTGCGGATTCATCTCTCTTGGAGGGAACACCCCCCTAATAATGGGACGGGTGTATTAATCGTGGGTCAACATTAGATGCACCAGCCAAATTTGTCAAACATACAATACAAGCATGATGGTATTTTCCGGGATGATGGGATGACCGGCCCTTTTCAAGTAACATCCTCATACCATTTCAGAAGGCGACTTGAAGGAGCCTCCACGAGTAATCTTGAGAACCTTACTCACTGGCCTGGAGCCAGTATGATAAATTAATCTTGACAACACATGGACTATGTTCCAAGGGCAGTCGTTTCAGCCATCCGTCGTTTCAGAAACCGTACAATGTTATCAGATGTTGGTTCTCTGGAAGTAATGGGGAAAGCACATGCAGAAAAGTGGGCATTTTGCAACCGTGCTGGGGCGCCCGCTTCTGTGAAGCTAGCAAGCTTACCCGCGCACCGTTTGGAGGGTGCCCTAGTCACACAAACATCCACCTGAACCCTCGAACTATACCCTTAACAAATGGAAATCAACCGGTGATTTTGCGGCAACACCCAATTTTGACGGGTGACCACTTGAAAGGTTGAGCTTCGGCCAAAATATGGGTGGTGTCTTTTTCTTGGGGTGCTTACCCTTTCGGGATTGGTTTAAAGGGAAAGCAAAGGGCAAGATTTGTCGATGGTCAATCTGGGGGAACCTGACCCGGGCTCGCGACATGTGAACCGAAGCCAGTCGGGCCCCAAATGTTCAACCGCAGGAACCACAGGCATCGTCCCGAGGAACACTTTCCGGGGATCGCCAATTTGAAGGGCAAACACAACTTCAGGCTTTGAGCAAATATCTGGAGTCGTGACTTGTCGTCATTGCCCCAAGATCGGCTTGAGTTCCCCTAAAAAGAAAAAACTATTCCGGCGCGCTTCATGACGATCCAGTAGCACGACTCCTCCACCCCGAAGTCGTAGATGTGGCAAAGATGGTCCTGCCACAGCTTTGGGCTGCTTGCGCCCTCTCAAGCTAAACGCCCGTAGCGCCAAACTCACCTCAGTGATAATCAGAACCGATCGGGTATCAAGATTGTCCGATGGCTCAAGTATGTTAAAAAGGAGGCTGCACCCATTTTGGCTGTGGGTCAAAATCAATGGTACCATTTTGGGGTACCCATTTTAGTGGGATGTTGACTGGGGGTCCGGGATTTTGACCCATGGCCATCTACCCGGGTATCGATTGTGGCTGGCTCTCTTGGGTGTCTGCAACGCGCCCTGCATGTGCGTGACACGAACAGAAATGACAGGCGTTGATTGTCGTTGAGAGGGAGGTCTGGTTTCACCATGAAGAAGTACCCATCCATCTTTGTCTGCTCCCGGAAACCGCATGCTTAAACCAATCGCTTTGGAAGACCTCAAGTTGCTTTTCCTCCAAAAGAACAGTTCTCGCCGTCTTGGCACCTCTGGGTCGCCTTTGCTTCCTTCGGGAGGACCAGGTTGCAATGAAAGGTCCGGGGTTCCTTTAAGCTCGGCACCCTTTTGATGCTTGAGAAACCAAGAGAAACCCGGCCCCATGCTGGGAGTTGCTGCCCAAAATGAAAGTCTGGTTGCTATCGATTTGGTGGCTTGGAACAAAAGGACATGTTCCGGCACTATTTCGTTTGCCTTTAGAACAGATTACACACATGAGCCAGAATGAACATCTAGAAATCAAAAGGTCAACCCAAGACATCTTTCTGGCTGGGACCGGGTTGATTGTTCACGTGAGAGCGGGTGAATTGACACCCCGAGCGCCTAAGGAAAACTGTTGCATCATTGACTTGGGTGATATTAAATCATTTATTTGGGAGACACACCACCCGTGTGGTTGTTCTAAAACATTTGGATAAACGAACAAGCGGGGATACGGAGGGAGCGGGGATATGGGGGGATTCTCTTGGCGCCATTTCCCATATCAAACTTAGTCAAGGTGCATTTAGGGGAATCTTCCCGTATCCCTGGTTCCCCTGTATCCCTGCTAGTTGGTTTCCCTGAATGTTGCAACCAACAAGTCACACAGGACTGTCGAAGACGACGGTAGCCTCGAAGCGGACGGTGTCCAAGCAACTGATCTCGGTGAAAACGTCCACAAAGACACAGTGATCCTGTTTGCCGGTGCCCGGGGGGGCCGAACCCCTTCAAAACATGTTTTTAACACCAGCTCACTTGCCGAGTGGATGGCCCCAAAAAAGTCCTATATTTACCACTGAAATGGTCCTCCCAAAAAGTTTAAAGTTCATGAACTCAGGAAGTGAGCCAATCTCTTTAACACCTGTGGTCTAAAGAATATCCTGGCCTCTTCTTTCGCAGGCCGACATTCCGGCGCTTCAAAGATGAAGCAGCAACCAACTATGCAAGGACGCACACACGTGCCATGCGTGTCCCTTTTGTGGGGGTCGTGTTGAGCCTACGAGGGCTCATCTATTGCCATCCCCAATCGCCTTGAGGTCTTTGGTCCCTGGAAACCAGGTTGCATGGAACAGAATGGCGTCTAGCTCTGTTCTCCTTGATTTGAGCCGGCCCCCTCGCTTTTCTGTTGTTGTCTTTTTTGGGGGGGGAGCGGGGGTCGGCGCCCTCGTTTGTTGTTGTTGGTTGGGGGGGGGGGCACCTATCTGCCAAAAACGGCCAGGTCAATGACTCGGTATGACGTGCGAAGCGGGGTTCCGTGGCCCAAAGATGCATCATTCAAGACGAAGAAAGCTTCCAAGGCCAAAGTGCCCCTGGCCCCTCATGTATACAGTTTCAAGAGGAAACAAGGGCAGAGGTGTCCTGTTGCTAAAATATGGCAAAAAATAGATGGGTTTCCCTGGCAACTGGGGCATTCAACCAATCCACACCAGTGGAACCAATCTATTTCTAACCAAACTAAGCGATCCGAAAACCCAACGAGAATCGTGAGGTCCTGGATGTTCTTCTGCTGCGGGATTTGCTTGATGGCAACCTCCCGAACGGCTGTGTGTCCGTGTGTCAAGTTTATTGTGGGCAAAGGTAAGGAAAACCACAAGCTCTTGGTTGACGTTGGAAGGGGAGCAAAAAATATATTTTTAGCAGTTAAGTGGGGATTTCCCACTAAACCACAATAAGCAAAGATGTAAAATGTTTCCCAACAACAACCATGAGCTTGGGAATCGCCCCCATTTCCCCGTCCCTCCCCCCGCCGTTTTGAGACACACCCAACCAACTCCGGGAATCGGCTAGACCGAAGTGGCTGGTTCAGTTGTTCAGGCTCTTCCCGTGCAACAAGGTGCTCCTCGAACCACACACTGCGCTGGGGTTGGAGAGCGAGGAGCAAATGGGGCGTTTCAGCTTGCTGGTGCCCAGTAGGGAATTTCGGAATGACCGTTCCGGGTGTTGGGAATGAACCGGTTTTGGGGATTTTTTTTACGGGAAACCATAGGGATGGTTTATAGGTGCCATTCCATCATTTCGTGCGGATGACCACCAAGGAAAAGTTGGCCCCGACATTCTCCCTGAAAAGCTGGGCTGGTCAAAATGGAGTGGCCAAATCTAATCCATAATCTCTGCAACCACTACAAAGGGGACCGGTTCCTTTCATAACCCAAGGTCCAAGCTTTCTGGAACACGATGTCTGGGAACCATCAAGCAAACTATCCCTGAAAAGAGAAAGGGGGTTTTGGAGGTAATGCGCAGCGGGTATAGCAACAATATGTATGCTGGTATTCATTATAGAAGTGGTATATTGGGGACACACCGAAAAGCTCACGGCAGCACCAGACTCCGGCTTTCCTCCCTGCCCAAATTTCCCCGAATCTTCCTCCGGCTGGTGGCATCACCCTTCGTAGACCGCGCGAAGGACATCTCTCCCAGTGACGCAAAAGCGCCACTCCACTTCGATACCAGTACTAAGCAGTACCGAGAGACCACTTGAGTAGGCCCGACTCTGAACCCCGAAACTTGGTTTCTAAGCTTCTTTCCACATTGACCCCCCAACTTGCCAATTGTTGTAGGGGCCTTTGCTAATCTCTCGCCCACGTTAAACTCCTTTTCTCAGCATGAGCCAAAAACCGTCATTTGGTTTTTGATTTAGCCCATAAAATTGGTCTTGCCGACAAGTGTCAAGTCCGAAACGAACTCAGGGAGTGAGTTTTGGGATGATTTTGAGGTTGTCACTTTGGGCCCAAAAAGCGGTGGGAATGGCGGATCCGAGCCTTGATGGATCGGCTCGCTCGTTTCCCCAAGCTCTGGCTGAAACATGGCCTCGACCCAACTTCGCACCAAGGTCTGGTTGGGAACGTCCCGAATCTTGATCTACCCGAATTGGTTTTGACCCAAATGCCCAGTGGATTTCCATTGGCAAAAAATAATCAGCAGCCGATTTTTCAAGGCTGAGTTGAAAGGAATCGGAACCCTTCCTGAAAGTGTATTCGAACCCGTTTACTAGGCCCCTGAGCAAAAGGTCTACCTGGAGTCTCCATGACCCTTAAAAAATGGGGTCATTACCCACAATAATTGGGTCATTGAACCATTTTTAAAGGGGTCGAGATTTAATTTGGGATTTTTGTTTGTTTTATTTTGGGGAAAAAAACACGAAAAAACATCCAAAAAAAATGGCCCTCCGGTAAAGGGTCAGAAGGAGACTCCAGGTAGCCTGCTGCAGCCATGGACAGGCCGAAAAGGTTTCCAAAAGGTCAGAGGGGCGATTTGGTCACGCCACAGACCAGCCATGATTAGAACTCGTTCAGGTGTCTCTTTGTTTAGGGGGTACCCTTTTTGGGGTAGGTTTAAGCGGTCTTAAAAGGACACCACAAGGAAACCACTCATTTTGGTTCTGGGCACCACTCAATTTTGGGGTAGGTTAAACAGGGCACCTGGCTGGCTGGACCTTGCCAAGGCTCTCCTAGCGCACCGCCCAAACGGCTCGAAACTGAACCCTCGGAACCTGCGGCTGGGACTGGCAGCCCACGGAGACGCTGCTCTGCATCACCTCGGTGGGGGCCGAAGGGAATAAGAAAAGGGTTGTGGGACACGTGAAAACCACATCTCATGTAGAAAAAGGGTGGTGGGGCACCTGAGAACCAAATGTCACAAAGGAGCAAACTATTGTGTTGTTTTTTCCCCCAACAGCTGAAAGCTTGGAGATAGGCTCCGGGTGGTCCGGGGTGGCCCTGAGGTAAGGTTCCACGAGGGTTCCACGAGGTTCTGCGAGGGCTGCGGGGTGGTGCGAGCACAAAACAGAGCACCGCATGCTGTCGGGGATATCACCTGAGCTTATTTTCCGTGTAGCCCCTTGCATTTGCAAGGGGTCTTGACTCGCTGAGTGATAAACCAAAAACATAGAAGGCCAAACTGTTGTGTTTATCCCGGCCCTTTAGTGACTTGGTGGTCCAGCCAGATCCTCACAAAGGCAAAACACGGCCTTCTGGGTCGCCAAAATCGCCCATATTGGGAATCAGCCTCCCAATAGTTCCCGTAGGAATACTTTGCTATGGGTTGATGCTTGATGGGAGCCCATTGGTTTATTCATCCATTGGTCTGTCTATTTCCGGGGCAGTAAATCAGTCCGCCTGCTTTGACAGCGAGCACCAAATGCTCGCAAATTGAGCGCCCGAATGTCAAAAGCCTGTGCTCAAACTTAGCACAGAGTGTTTTAGGCCTTATTCCCATCAAGCCAGCGGATCCACCCAAAATTGGTCCAATCGTGGTTTTGGGCGCTCAATTTGATGCAGAACCAGTGAGCAAAAAACATTCATTACATAAAAAAAAAAGATACATAACTATATAAATATACAAAACAACTAAGCAATAATAACAAAAAACATATATACAAAACACACGAACACACACACAAAACGATAAATCAACAAATAAACAAATAAATAAATAAAGAAAGAAAGAAAGAAAGACATAAAGACAGACAAACGGAACAACAGAAAGAACGACCGGCATGAATAAATACACAAATAGATAACATAAAGAAATAAATAACGTGAACTAAGCAACATAAAGAAATACGTATAACAAATCAATAAAATGGAAGCACATGTGGAGACCGGCTGGGCCAAGCCTGGCTCGCTCCGGACAACTCAGCCATCTCATGGGTTTCAGTCAGCCCCTACGCCCAATACCCAGCTTCTTTCAGGGTATGACAGGAGATGTCAGCCCCTAACGCGACAAGGAGGCAATCAAAATGGAAGACCTGGTTCTTGAAAAGATGCACTGAATTTGGAGTAGGGGTAGATCAAGCTCCCCTCGAATTTGTGGTTTAGATTGCTGGTTGAGAAGTTAGGGGTTGAGCTACCCCATTTTACTCGCTACAAGAACCAAGCTGTCATCCAAACCACCAACATCACCAACTGTTCAATGGATACCTGATAGGGGGCATAGGTGACCTTTCGGACAAATGAAAATCACCGGAGGGATTCGAGATCTTCCGCTTCTTCAATGGGATCTCTTTAGGGGCCGATCATGCCGACAAGGTTGGATGTGCGCTCCACAGCAATCCGGTGAGCTTTCAAGAATGCCTCCGTGGATACGGTCGGAAGGTGTTCAGCAGATCCAGGCGCCGCCATGGCGTTCCGATCTTCCTCTCCCAGCTTTTCATGCAGCTCAGCGATCTCGCGCGCTGGACATACAGCCAACCTAGTTCTAACCAAACTGACCGATCAAAAGGACACCTACTGTGGAAGGACAAAATCCTGCACCGCATTGAAACCACAAAATCCTGCACCGACTTGAAACCATGGTTGAGACCATTGTTCGTTGGTAATTAAAAACAGGAGAATCGAATCCTTCCGTTGGGTTTCTAAATGGTGGTGCAAAATGGACTTCGCAAGCATCCACAGTGTGATAGGCTCACATCCTCAGTGGAATGGAAAACCTTAACTTTTCAATGAGGAAGTGAGCCAAAAATGGTCTAAACCACTTTACAATGAAAGCAACCGGTCTAACTTTTCTTTGCCGCAAAGCCAAAATGGTCTAACCCCAAAAAGCTGAAAGCCCAGGAACTCGAACGGGAGTGAGTCGGGGGGTTATTTAAGCGTCGTGGCTTGCCCCGGGGCCCGTGGCCGTGCCAAACTGCCCAGCCCCGATCATGCGCATGTTGGTGTACCTGGCACACGGAGGCCCCTTGGGGGCCTACTTTGGTTCAAGCGGGAGTGTTCTTTGCTTCTTGTTTTGTGAAATCCTCAACAACAGAAGGGTTCAGACACGACAGCAAGTATTTGTTTGCTGGTGCATGCGGTCTAGTCACATCGGCAATATAAATAAACGGAAGTTGAGCAACTGACAACACTTTGCAGTCTCGCAACTGGGTGGTTGGCTTCCTTTGGGAAAACTGGGGGAGACTGGATACCTGGATACGCATGTTCCCCTGGACTAAGATTGCCTGTTGCGAGTTGTTCAAAGCTGCGAGCTTTTTCAGGCCCCGAAGAAAGCAGCCTGAAGACTTCAGCAGCCTGAAGACTCTTCTTGCAACAAATCAACTGGTGTGGGGTGTACATACTGATGGTTGCGAAATCCGAGACCGCACCGCTTGAAAACCATGGTGGAATCCACAAGGTTTGTTGGTATTTACGTCGGGGAATCGAATCATTCCGTTGGGTTTCTGAATGGTGGTGCAAAATGGATTTCGCAACCATCCACAGTAAGTCATGCGTCATACAACTTCACGAGGCAGACTTCACAACACACCCGCAGGGCCGGCCAACTGAACCGCGCACGAACGCAAAAGAGCAATGAACTTCGACGAACAAACAATTTGGAACAACTGAACCAACAATCACAGAGCATTTGAACGGCCCCGGCAAGCACAAAGCGAACTTGCAAGGACAGCCGCATATGAGTCCAAGGTTTGCATGGAATCCTCGCACCCAAACCAACCCAAACTCACCGAACCCCCCTCCCCCCCCCCCCCGCCCGTGGCTTTCCATCTGGGTGAATGAAAATATTTCACCCACCTCAAGTAAGATAATTTGGGGGCTTCCCCACATAAACCACCATTTGGGGTGAATTCGGTCGTGTGAGGTCGTGTTTTGCCTCCAAGCTCATCGAATCCCCCTCACCCCCCAGCCCCCCCCCTCCACCCCCCCCCGCCCGTGGCTTCCCATCCGACCCTCCGACAGGGCACATCCAGCGGTGCATGGCCGACTCCACCAGGAGCTTCAGCAATCGCAGCTCTGCACGGCCCAGCTGGTCCACCTGCGGCAGGTTCGTTTTTTAGGTAAACCAGAATTGGGGAATGCGATGGGGGGGGGGGTTTGGGGGGTTCGGGGGGGTTGGGGGGGCTTGGGGGGGGTTGGGGGGGAATTGGGGGGGGGTTGGGGGGGTGGCGTCTCTTTTTTGAGTGTACCCGTTTTCAGGTAACCCAGGATTAACTTGGGCGAGTTGAACACCTTCCTGAAGGTAACTGGGAAACCACCCCTGACCAAACCACCAATCCAACGAGGAACCTGAGGCCTTTTTGCCCCCAACCAAAAAGCAAATGTCAGCTTTGGTTCTAACCCCAAAACGGGGGAAAAACAAACAACTCGATGTCAAAGCGAGGCAGGCGCAGCCAGTGAACACCGAGCTGTGACCACCAAAAGTACCTCCCCGAATCTGAAATGGCGCAACTTGGTGGAGTATTGGACCTCATAGCTGGACCCTAGGAATTCCTTTCGGCGGTTCAAGTCCACCCCATTCCGATTTGTTTTCAGCTGAACTGCCCACTAACCACCAGGATTGGAACACAAACTCTTAGCTCCCTGTATATAACAAGCCTGAGGCCCCCTTCTCAGAGAAAAAACACGGAGTATCCGGAGTTTCCCTGCTCTTTGAGGAGTCTCCTGGCAAAAAGCCACGGAGGATCCCAAAAACTGACGCCACCTCCTCCAAACCGAATCCACGATTGGAACGTCCCACGGTACTCGTCACCACTTTTGCAGGAACCGCGCCTGCTGGAAGACCCAGGGCAGCACCGCCCTGGAAATTGCGCGAGCGAGTTCTCCGAAGCGCGAGTTGTCCCGATGCCGGGTGTAGGTCCAAGGGGAGGAAAAAACCGGGGGCACCAGGTCCAGCACCCTCCAAGGGTGGTCCATTTGTACCAAGGGTTTGAGCCATTTCGGGTCTTGACAACCCTTGGAGGGTGCTGGTTGGCTTTGGATTTGGATTCTACACTCCCTCAGACTATGGGAAGCTCCCAGAAGGCCTCTGGGAGCTTCCAACGGAATCTCCTCAGCGAGGGAGTTTAAACCGAAATCCCAACCTAGGTCCTCCAGTAGAGGAACCCTCCCAACCAAAAAAGGGGTGAGAAAGGGCACCTAGCCGGGGGACCTAGCAACCGAAACAAGTCAAAACAAGTCGAAACAAACCCACTGGAGGTCTGGGGTAAGCTTACTCTCTTACGGAGTGTCCCTAATTCTCAAAATTCCAGTGGATTGATCAAATGAAGTCTTAGAGCTTCATTTGGGGGTGTCTTCTTGTAGACCCCCGAAATGTTGGTCTTCCTTTTCCCCGTTAACGCAAACCCAACATGGGTCAGACCCAGTTGAGGGCCTCAAGCCCTGGAGGCACGGTGGATGCCCTGGAAGGCAACTGAACCTACCACGTCCAAACGAGACCTGTGTGTTATGCCAAAAACAGGGGAGGTGGGGTTAGAATCCCATGACACCAGTGTTTTATGCCAAAAACAGGGGAGGTGGGGTTAGAATCCCATGACGCATGCCAAGTGGTTCTGGCGTGGGTGATGAAGTGGGAGACCGACGGAACGCAAGAACCGATACCCTCATCATCAGGGAAGTCATGACTGCTACATGGATTGAAATATATAGATCAAAATATGTTCTCCTAAGAAAGCAACTCCAAGGCGGTCTGAAGCGGAACTGGATTCATCTGGGCAAACCGCTATAACAGACCCCGAATCCTCCATTTGCGTATTCGTTCCCTGGGAAAAAAAATAGTTCCAGTAGCGATAGATTTCTTTTACAACCAACAGGGGAAAATAAAATATGTCCTTAACCAAATGGAAGTGATAAGGATCCTTCATTCTGGGTGTGCAAGTTTTGCCAAAGCCGTGAACCTGAACGGTGCTGATTCGCGCGCGTGCTCGCGACGCGGTCTTTGCAGCTCCGGCCTTTGCCAAAGTCGAACTTGGCCGCTACCAACGCAACGCTCCAGCCCTTGGTGTGCTTCTGGAACAATGGACTGTGCTGGCAAATAAAATCGCACCAAACTCAAATGAAACCCATCTATCAAACAAACTGAAGTCGGAACAAGAACACCTCAAGCTCCGCATCCTACGACGACCCGGCTCAGCCGTAAAGTCGCCTTTAATGAAACTTTGAGTGCTAGTCACCTCCAGCAAACGAATTTGCCGCTAGATGTCTATCGTTGTATGCCCATATCTGTGTATGTAAATATAAATATAAATATATATATATATGTGTGTACCAATAGAGCCGGCGAAGCCGGTGGACGGAAGTTTCTAAAGCGAGGGGAGTGCCCATAGGAAGAGCTTGGCTTGTCTTTGCTTGGTTGCGCTCTTTCTTTGTTTCTCATAGGCGCAGGAGCAGCAGGGCTCGCAGCCGCGCAGGCCTTCCGCTTTCAACTGCCCCAGCGCGCAGCCGAGTACGTGCGCCTGAACGTGCTGCCCCGTCCGGGCCAGCCGCAGCCGCCTCCGCAGATCATCGGCCGGCCCAGTGACGTGGAGCGCCTCCTGGACGAGGCGGGGGTGGAGCGTGGCGCGGCTGTTTTCTTTCTCTTCCCGTTAGCTCTCTCTCTCTTGCTCTCTTTCTTTCCTTCGTTTCCTCTTTCTGTCTTTCGTGCTTTTCTTTCTTTCTTTCTTCCTTTCTTTTTTCTTACTTTCCTTCTTTCCTTCTCTCTTTCTTTCTTTCGTGCTTTCTTTCTTTTTCTTCCATTCTCTTTATTTCTTTCTTTGTTTCTTACTTTCTTTCCATCGATTTATCTATCTATCTATCTTCGACTGTCCTTGCGAAAGTGCTGCGCCTGCCACGAATCTGTACTTGACCTTGCGAAAGCGCTGCGCCTGCCACGAAATCTGCACCTGACCTTGCGAAAGTGCTGCTCCTGCCACGAAATCTGTGCACCTGACCTTGCGAAAGTGCTGCGCCTGCCACGAAATCTGTGCTCGACCTTGCGAAAGTGCTGCGCCTGCCACGCGAGTTGCGCCTTCGTCTCTGTCTTTCTCTCTGTCTTCCCATTTGATCTATTTATCCATCTATCTATCACCTGACCTTGCGAAAGTGCCGCGCCTGCCACGAAATCTTTACTTGACCTTGCGAACGTGCTGCGCCTGCCACGAAATCTGTACTCGATCTTGCACGGGCACAAAGTGCTGCGCCTGCCACGAAGTCTGCACCTTAGGTTGCCAAAGCGCTGCGCTTGCCACGCAAAATGAACCTCCGAAACCTCTGCGCGAGCATTACAGTGGGCAACATTCCGTAACTCTACTTTTCGTATTACGAAAGCTTTCTAACTAAACTTCCTTTGATGAGAGTATATGCATGTGTGTATGCATGCATGCGTGCATGCGTGTGTGCACGTATGTAAGCAAGTATGTATGTATTAGATGTATGTGTGTATGCATGCATGTATGCATGTGTGAATTTATCTAAGTATGTGTGTATGTATGTACGTACGGATATATGTATGTATGTATGCCATGCATGTATGCATGTATGTATGTATGTGTGTATTAGACTATACGTATGTATGTATGTACGTACGGATGCTCTCCGGTTGGCGGCAAATTCAGGAACTCACATCGTCTTGTGCAGCGCTTGCACCTCAATTTGGCAAACGGAGGCAACCAAACGAGTCGCTTCAACCTCCAAAAGTAAGACAACTTTTGGAACGTGAGCCCAAACTTGACAGGGAAATAGAGTAAGCAAACCCAACAGGCCAAAAGAGTAAAAGCTGAGTTGTGTTTTTGGTTCCGAGTGTCATCATTTAACGATTTAGAGCAAGACCTTCATCAGCTCAGCAATGGAACAAGAAATGTGTGCTGCTTGCGTGCACGTGCTGCAGCACCAAAAACAGCGACAGCGACAGCGACAACGACAACGAACAACAACAACAACAACAACAACAACAACAACAACAACAACAACAACAACAACAACCACAACCACAACCACAACCACAGCCACAACCAACAACAACCAACAACAACCAACAACAACCAACAACAACCAACAACAACCAACAACAACCAACAACAACCAACAACAACAACAATGACAACAACAACAAAAACAACAGCGACAACGACAACGACAACGACAACAACAACAACAACCACAACCACAACCACAACCAACAACAACCAACAACAAGCAACAACAACAAAAAAAACCAACAACCACAACAACAACACCACCACCACTACCAAACTACGACAACAACCACAACCACAACCACAACCACAACAACAACAACAACAACAACGACAACCACCACCACAACAACCACAACAACCACAACAGCCACAAGAACCGCAACAACCGTAACAACAACAAGAACAACAAGAACAACAACAACAACAACCAACAACAACCAACAACAACCAACAACAACCAACAACAACCAACAACAACCAACAACAACCACCAACAACAACCACAACAACAACAACAAAAACACCAACAACAACAACAACAACAACAACAACAACAACAACAACAACAACAACAGCAGCAGCAACAACAACAACAACAACAACAACAGCAACTTCAGCAACAGCAACAACAACAACAACACCGGCACCAACAACGACAGCAACAGCAGCAACAGCAACAACAACAACATTAACAACCACAACAACAACATCAACATCAACATCAACAACAACAACAACCAACAACAACCAACAACAACCAACAACAACCAACAACAACCACCAACAACAACCACAACAACAACAACAACAGCAACAACAACAACAACAACACTGTCGACATCAACCACAACAACAACAACAGAAGCAGCAGCAACAACAACAACAACCGCAACCACAACCACAACCACAACCACAACCAACAACAACCAACAACAACCAACAACAACAAAAACAACCAACAACCACAACAACAACACCACCACCACCAACAACAACAACAACAACAACGACAACAACGACAACCACGACAACAACGACAACCAAAAATAATGACAAGAACGACAACAACGACAACAACCACAACCACAACGACAACCACAACAACAACAATGACGACAACGACAACGACAACGACAACGACAACCACAACCACAACCACAACGACAACAACAACAACAACAACCACAACCACAACCACCACCCCCGCCACCACCATCAACAACAACAACCACAACCACAACCACGAACAACCAACAACAACCAACAACAACCTACAACAACCAACAACAACCAAAAACCACAAAAACCACAACAACAACACCACCACCACCACCACCAAACAACGACAACAACCACAACCACAACCACAGCCACAACAACAACAACATCAACAACCACAACAACAACATCAACATCAACATCAACAACAACAACCAACAACAACCAACAACAACCAACAACAACAACCACCAACAACCACCAACAACAACAACAACAACAACAACAACAACAACAACAACAACAATACCACCAACAACAACAACAGCAACAACACCCAAGGCTGTCGGATGTCCAGCCGCCCCAACAAGGGTTGTCCGCTGAAATTCGGTGATTTAAGTCCGATCACGCACAAACCCAGCCTTGTTTTAGCGTTTTCGATATCTAGATCTTTGTATTGAATAGTGTGAGAACGATGGCCGGGCTCATAGAGTTTGTTCCATCGCGTTTTCGCCTTAGCGAAACGCTTGGTTTTTCAAGGTCCAAAACGAAAAGTCGGTTTCAACACCATTAAAGGCCAGCAACGCGGTGTTCAGCGGTAGTTCCAGATATCTCACCAACCACAACCACAACCCACAACTCACAACCAACAAGAAACAACCAAAAACCATCAACAAACAAGAAACAACCAAAAACCAACATGCGCGCGGGCGTGCTTACCATGTGCCAGGCATGGGTGCGTTTGAGAGACATGCACGTGAGCGGGTGCGTTACCGTGTGCCAGGCGTGGGTGTGTTTCAGCGACATGCGCGTGGGCGAGTGTGCTTACAGTGTGCCAGGCATGGGTGCAATTGAGCGACATGCGCGCGGGCGTGCTTACCACGTGCCAGGCATGGGTGCATGTGAGCGACATGCGCGTGGGCAGGTGTGCTTACCATGTGCCAGGCATGGGTGCGTGTGAGCGTCATTCCTGGCGTGGGCGGGTGTGCTTCCCGTGTGCCAGGCATGGTGCATTTGAGCGACACGCGCGTGGGCGGGTGCGCTTACCATGCGCCAGGCATGGGTGCATTTGAGCGACATGCGCGTGGGCGGGTGCGCTTACCAAGTGCCAGGCATGGGTGCATTTGAGCGACATGCGCGTGGGCGGGTGTTCTTACCATGTGCCAGGCATCGGTGCATT